TTTAAATTAATTTTAATAAATGTTTAACCGCATTATAAGAATAATTTAAAAACCTTGGTAAAACCAATTTTCCCTTAAAAATATTTTGAAAACCTACTCCAAAAATAAAGATAACTTTTGGAATTATGGAAAAAACAACGCCTCTCTTGTAGCAGAGTTTCGGGCTGACACTGTGTAGGTTTGTTGACGACACGACAAGAAGAAAAAGAAAAATAATATCAAAGTACAGTGGGTCTAGACAAAGTGCAAATTATAATCGCAAACCAGTCGAAAAGTGGTCGAAATGCCCCTTTTTTGTATGGAGTTTTGACGGATTCGATTTTCGATTCGATCAAAAAGTGCGTTTTGTCTAAGGGGGTAGGTCTCCCAAAAAGTAGTGACAAGCCGAAACCCATAGGTAGAGCATCAGTGGGGCTATCGGAATCACCCGCAGAAGTTATCATAAATTTTGTAACTTTTTAAAATTTCATGACCCGATAGGTTTTTTTTTTTTTATCTTTTTGACTTTTATCAGAGATCTTTTACCAGCAGTTGTGTAAAAATATTGACCTTCCTATCTTTGATGCAAAATACAAGATTCAAATTGAAATTCAATAATTTATTTGCTAGAATACATATCACATGCTCGATTTACAAAGAAATGAAGAAGAACGTGATTCCGTTCGGAATACGATGCATACGAAGCATTCTTAAACGAAAGCAAAATGTTTGCTAGAAACTTGAAAAATGAAATTTTAGCAAAACATTATAAAATTGTAAACTTAAAAGTTTAAATAAAAAAACCGGCCAAGTGCGAGTCGGGCTCGCGCACAAAGGGTTCCGTAGCAGCAACAGTTAAATCAACCTATCTCAAAAACTATAAGAGATACTTTGATCAAACCAAAAATCGTTGAAAGAGTTAATTAGCATGCATCACCTCTATTTTTTTTAGAATTTTATACCCCGTAGTTATAAAAATAGAGGGGGGGGGACATACTTTTTACGACTTTGAGAGCTGATATCTCAAAAACCGTTCACTTTAAGAAAAATGTTTTTTAGAAAACTTTATATCATTTTAAAAGACCTTTCCATTGATACCCCACACGGGTATGTACATCGAAAAAAAAATTTTCATCCCTCAGTTACATGTATGGGGGGCCCCACCCCCAATTCTTTTTTTTACTATTTAGTGTCATAATTTTGTAGCGGTTCATACAACACATATTCCCATCAAATTTCATCACTGTAGTACTTATAGTTTCCGAGTAAATCGGCTGTGACAGACGGACAGACGGACAGACGGACAGACGGACATGACGAAACTATAAGGGTTCCGTTTTTGCCATTTTGGCTACGGAACCCTAAAAAGAATAGTTATCTGAACTTTCTTAATAGTGCAAAAAAGTTAAAAAAAAATGTACTTAATTTCCTGTAATCGTTCACTAAAGTGGTAAATCGTATATTATTATTCCGTTCAATATTTTTGATTTTCTTAGAGTGAATTTAATTGGGAATCCTCTAAGTTTACATTACGCAGCACAGATTTAGAGACAACAACTGAATAGAACATATTTTTATTCTCAACGAGGAAGCTCTTGACCTTTATCTCACCTGATGGAAAGTGATAATCAGGCCGAGGGTGGAAGTGAACTTCAACCACGAAGTAACTAGCTATCCTACCTCCACTGCCGAAACATATAGTTCTTGTATGTTGTTTTAATAACCATAAACCACATTTTTTAAATTATTCTTCTATTATTTTTTTATTTTAATATTTGACGAGTTGTAAATGTGTAAGCACTATTTAATTAAATTAAATTTAATTAAAAGAAACTGACTTTTGACTTTTTTATGGCAAGGGCTGTTCATCTAGCTATTAATGATTGTCAGAGATAATAAATGGCTAGAGGCAGGGTGCGCTACGAATCGTGCGCTACGATTTTCGTAGCAACATCAGATTTGGTGTTGGTCGGAGGCGATATAAAATATTTTTCTTACAATATTTAAGTACATACTTTGTTTGCCTTCATGATTATATTAGTGTTTAGATATTTTAAAACAAGACATCTAAAGCTCGTCTAAATACTGACGTCCAAATGATTTAAATATCATAAATAAAGGGAAATTTTTGAGGACAGAAAACAAAACTCATTTTAAAAGGAATATTTTATTAAAATAAAAACGATATAACATACAGATGATCGCTTAGGATTCTAAAGCAGCTTATCAATTAATTAAACTAAATAATAAGTAGGATCTCTACTATAGAATAGTATCAGACTTATGAATGTGCACTTTTGGACATTGCGTTTGCGTACCGGACCACAGCTAAAGGCAGTAGCAGATTCGACATCCAGCGCAAATATCAATCGGATGAGGTATTACATTGGAAATCACGGTTTTTTATAATATAGTCTGCGTCAATGGAGTCTGGCAGTATTCATTTGAGTAAACTTATCTTGTAAAAGTAAAAGAAGTTTAATATGTTAAATAATAACTTAAACCAAATCTCTGATTGAGTTTATTGGTTTCATAAGGTGACAGAATTAATAGAAATACAAAATAGTCAGTTTCTGGCAGTAGTCATGTTTTTGGTGGTAGTACCTACTATAGTCTATCCAATATAGCTTGATTAGAATGACAGCTGTCATCAAAAGTAACGACATAACTTTGTAGTAGCGATCAATGAGAGCAAAATATTGGCGGACAAGAAATAATTCACGTCTGACCTACAAACAATATTTTCCACGACAGTGCTTCCAATAAAAATGATAATTTCGTGTAAATGCAGCGTTAAATTACACCAATAAGTAGTAATTCGAAATTATAAAAATCAAGCTAGAGTATTAACGACGTCTCTACAAGGTTATCTCGAGTTACAAAAATGTTAGTGTTGGGACATATCGACAAATGTAATATTAAATGAAACCTATTTTTTTTAACATATTTAACAATTTTTTTTTCTAACTCATTTTTTAACATATTTAAGTAAAGTTATGCGTTTTTCTAAATGTTCACTATTAAAAACCAAAAAAACATTTCATTCTTAAATAATCAAACATCGGAAATCAATCACCGGTAATTTTTTGCTCCGTTGCTCTAAAAGAGATGCCCACCGCCCTCTAGCGAGAGGAAAAAACCACTGAAGAACACTGATGATAATGACTACGACTTAGGTTGTACACCCTTGATATGAATTTTAAATTTTACTGTCTTTAAATTTAAATCATAATTGTCATTTTTATGAATAAAGATATATGAAGAAAAATTGGGTGCATTTTTTCATATCATTTTTTTTAAAACTTATCGATACATCTATGTGAACCGTACGAAACATACCCATCACTAGTCACATTCGTTTGACAGCCGTCATTCTAATCAAGCTATATTGGATAGACTATAGGCTCTCTACGGCTAAATAAATAAATAATTTTACATATGAATGACTTTACTGTCAAATCAATTTTAAATACTGGGCAATTTTTTCCAAACGAGATCTTTAGTAATAAGTACCCACTCCTACTTAAGAAAAGTAATTAATCTATGAGTATAAAATATATGAGTATCACGCGTGTTCTAAAAAAATCAAACACGTCATAAGATTGTGGCCTAACCGTAATTAGGGAATGCACTAACGCCCGCATTCAAAAACACTACTATGAGGTCGCACACGCACAGGGTTACACATGAACCAATCACAGAGCTCTATTCAACGCTGTGCGTTCGATTTGCTGCTTCACTTAAGTAAGCATCGTTTGTGAATACGGGCGTTTTTGTTCAGAATATGTGAGATCACTTACTTAATGAATACAAGATATAAAACTTCTAATTTATTATAAAATTACATTATTACATTTTGGACATTTTAAACTGACAGTTTGATTGTGCAGGTATCGAACCCGCGTTCTCTAGCTTAGTACCCAGTCCGATACGCGAACCACGCGCGAGATCGTCATCTATGGGAAATTATAATACTGTTGGTGTTGTTTTTGAGAGTAGAGCTTGATTTACAATCAGTTATAACATTAGATACGTAAAATAGTACATGCCCAAACGCTCTACATTTTCAAATTTTACATTTATCATTTACACAAATATTGGGCAAAGATTATAATCTATATCCCTTTATTTCTATTAAATATTAACATACAAATTTTAGAAAATCAACACGGGGATTTGTTGCCACCGTAAAATTGTGAATTCCGTCTGACTGATTACAATCTGATGTAGTTGATTACAGTCCAACCTTTTTTTGCGGCTGGAAAATAACCCACTGTTAGTTTATAAATAATAAAATCTTAGACGAATTATAAACTGACAGCGTTATACAAAATGATATTTTTAATACAAATAATTTAAGAGCATGGCGAGTACATAGCAATCGAACACGAGATGCGTTTTATCTACTTTCTAATTTATAATTATATTTTTGCCCCGCCCCCTGATGATAAACCATATTTATAGTATACTTTACAATTAATCCCGATGTTTTACTGTTCGCCAACTTCCAACCGATGCTCGATCTCTATGTCGCCAGCTAATGAATTATTGACAAAAATAATAATAGATTACATTTTATAGCACTAAATGCCTGCCTACATGTGCTACTATGACACATTGTTCGTTCAAGAATTAATTCTAATGTATTTTATGATGACTCGGAACAAACGTTAAAAATGAAGCATGTAACAGAATGCACCATGTCAATATACCAGATTTTTACATTACGTCAGTAAATATTTTCCAGTTTATTCTATCCGAATCTTTCACAATACATGTCCGTATCACAGCACACACTGTCCGTAAACACACGACGCACCACTTTTGAATTACACTTTGTGCGCGATCTTTTTTACGCGAGTGACTAAAGTTGTTGCGAGCGCGAGCGACACAGCGGCACTGAATTCGTGTTTTGCCGGCGGCGCCCGGCGCTCGTGTGCGGAGCCGGCCGCCGGACGGCGCGTGCGGGCGGCGCGGCGGGGCGTGGGCGCCGCATTTAAGCTCGAGCCTCTCCACGCACCTGTTAAACGCAACTCAGCCTCCTCACGAGCGCACGCGACCACCGCTAGCTCAACAACCGCGCCACTCAGCCGCTCGAAAATGAACTCGAAAGCCTCACTCGCCCTGACGGCCACCCTCGCCGCGCTCGCCGCCCTGGCCGCCCTGGCGTCCGCGATGCCCACGGACGCTCGCACCCCCCACAAGCTGGACTTGTCCACCGTCATGAACAAGACGGTGTGCCCGATCAAGATCGAGATAGACGTCGACCCCGACCGGATACCCAAGAGGATCAAAGTGATGAAGTGCGAACGCGACCCGAACCAGTGGTGCTCGAAGATGCACGTGCCCAAGCACGAGTGCTGCCAGCACCAGCACGACAACGTGAAGCTGGAGTGCGTGGAGGTGCAGGACACGGTGCAGGTGTACTACCCGGCGCAGCAGCTGGCGCAGCCCTACCGCGTGTCCGTGGGCTGCGCCTGCGTCATGCAGGAGACGGGGCAGGTGCAGGACGCCGTGCCGGCCAGGTGACCGCGCCGCCGCCGCCGCCGCCACCGCCGCCGCCACCGCCGGCGACCGCCTCACCAAGTTCCTACACTCCACTAGTGATAAAATTAATTTATTGTGTGACTGCGACCGAGTGCACGTATTTATTGTTATGGTTGTGACTTTGTAAATATAGAGTTAAGTCCAGTCAGTGAAAAGGGCAGCTCGGTTCTACGGCAGCCTATTAAGTTTAAGGACTTCCCGATTACCTGTTTTCAGGCATCGGCTATGTTTAAGTTTTGTTATACCTGAATTGTAATAAAAAATATTTTCAATGAATTTTCAAGTTTTCTTTACAAAAAACCCAATAGGTATAGGATTACATACCCTCTTAAATATTTTATCAAGAAGTTTCGTAATTGATAATACTTATTTATTTTACCTTTGAGATAAAACAATCCCTATGAGAGAGATGAATGTGACAAAAAATTACATTTATATTCACTTTATAATATTTTAAACAACAATAATTTTCATCAGATTTCAATATGGGTCAGAATCGTGTTATGCATACGTAACTAAGATTAAACATTTTGCAAATTATACATGACATCTGGTACACACGTAATTTTCATTCATCAACTAATACGTAATAGAGTTTTGAATGTAATTTTAAAATACACACGTTCATTCATGAATGCTACTTACGCTCGGCGCTCTACTGTAAATAGCACTACAATACATTCTGTGGTTGACTGAAATTTGTCTGAATCGGATTTCCCAGGCTAGGTCTCATATTGTCATCTCTGACAGCATCTGATAAAATAAGAATTAGTATATCCGCGCTGTAGTAGTCACCAGGAGGCTGACTCAGTCGCGGCCATGAGTCACTATTCGGCCACTTTCTACACGCTCTACGAAACGCGCGCGATCCTCAGGTATCGATGAGTTGCTCAACAGCACGCAACGTTTCGGCGGAAAATCCATGGAGGATTTTTGATACGACTATATTATTATCAACTATGTAGCTATAAAGTTATAACTAAAGAAAAACGAAACATTTGAATTTGGGTATGCAGCATCCATTAAAAATGTTGTTACTACAGTTTACAGTAGCTACGATGGAATAACGTAGACGCATAATAGTTACGTTACGATAGTAAACGTCAAAGACAATATTAACCAATTCGTCATTAAACAGACTTAAAAAATGTTCGTTCTAAACCAGCAAATAAACTAGAAATACCTAGTTAATTATAGTTAGATTAAGGCCGAGTTGCACCACCTAACTTTGACCGTAACTATGACGATAACCGGTGTTTTTTGTATGGAGTTTGACAGATTTTTGACGTTTGTCAAAGTTAAAGTAAGATGGTGCAACCCAGCCTAAGCTTAGCAAATAATAATGTGTGCTCAATGGCTGTCAAAATATTCAATTCCCGGCCTGATCTGAGACAGTTAAATGGATCACTTTTGCGAAGTGCATATTCTGCGTCAGACCCTTCCAAAGTCGTCTGCATGAATACCCAGTGGAAAATTGATTCTATTCAGTCAGAGATTTTCTTGACAAAAGGCAAAACTAATGATGACTTGAGTTTGTATTGTATTAAGTATTAAATTAAATATTTTATTTTTTATTTGTAAAATCTTTGCATGATTTTATATAAGTAGTTATTGAATTTTTAGCGTTAAGAGTTGCATCTCAAACTTATTTGAAAATTATAAATAACTTGAAAAAATCAGACTTCCCGCCTTTGGCAGTACGATTTTTTCAAGTTATTAATGTTCATATGTATACATATTATGTAGTTTTTGACGAACGAACTATTTAAAGATTAAAGCAAATAAATATATTTCAAATACACATACACACATATTTCATTTCATTTCAACCTTCTGGGGAGTTATCTGTAGCTGTACTGTAACCGCGACTTCGTACCGACGTGTGAAAATCGTTAGAATATTTTTTCCGGTTTTTGCAACATTTTTCATTTATGATTGATCTGCTTCTATTGGTTGTAGCGTAGCTTACTAGATAAATGGGCTATCCAACACAAACATATTTGTTTCAAATCGGACCGGTATAAGTTCCTGAGATTGCGCCGTAAACCAAACAAACAAAGAGACTCTTTAGCTTTATAATAATTTTCAGCATATTCCAATTTCCCATAAGTACAAAGTAGGTAAACTTAGATAACGAATGAGACTTTGAACCTACATCAGGCCTCCGTCACTCGCCTATGCCGGCCGAGATAATTACCTACAGCGCGCGACAACTTCAAGTTGCAAATCAGTCAGGACCGCCACGCGCCTGTGAGCACACGCGTATTTCTATACACGCTCGGTCGATCATCGTCACAATCAAGGTTTATTGTTCCAACAGCACTGTTATCCTTCTTTAATGTAAAATCGTAGTATTTAGGAATAATAATTAACTGTACTAATTTAAATAATTAAAAAAAACTACACTTTTTACATAATTTTGAAATACTTATGACAAAAAACTGTAGCAAAAAAATTATTTTAGCTAATATAAACATTAACTTACTTCACCGTGTCTTTTTTCCGACACTACACCTTTTAAAACTATTTGTCCAATTTCAAATTATTGCAACACTGAAGTTTATTAATAGGTACTTTAGAGATGGTACGATTATACAAACACCACTAGATTAAAGATTACCAATCGTAAATACAATAAATGCTTCTTAAAATTAAGTTATTATTTATTTTACTTTGCTTATGGGTCATTCCATGAAAATCTGTATATTTTGGACGTCATTTTGTCCCAAACATTTTTAAGATGCTTTTGAATACTTTATTAGTGTAAATTAAAGTTTATTTATTAATTATGTTATGTCTAAAAGGGCCAGTCACTTTATGCTATATTTTAGGAGAAATTATAATTTTCAATTTTTTCATACTACGTTACTCCTATATGACTTTCAATAAAGTATAAAACTTATAACCTTAACATTTATAGATAAGTTAATATACTTCATGTAGTTGTTTTGTTATTATCACTATATAAAAAACGTCATTCCGTAACTAGTAACTTAGTCCCTAGCGCCATTTAAAGCTAGGGCCTGACGTCTAGGGACTGACGATTTGGAGTAAAACTTAACACAAATGCAGATTAACTTTATAATGTAAGATGCTTAATACGATGTGCTGAAAATAGCCGAAAATCCACACGTAAATACTATTAAATTATATACAAATTCCTATTGTAATCAATAAAGCTACTCAACTAGGGACTGACGAAGTGACTGGATTAACACATGTTTCCGCAACAACTGGCACGTTTGCACTAATTCAAAAAACGGCTGCCACAAAGCCAGTATGGTCTGAGGATAACTTCGTATCGTACTTTAAACTCAACTAAATGTCATTCACTATAGATACATATTGTAGCGCAAAATTATAAAACCAGAGCGTGGCGAGGGAATGACGCTAAAAGCTGTGGACTCTTTTTCAAGTACAGAAAATCAAATAATTGTTTATTGAAACCTCAAAATATTAATAGAATTTGGTGTAATATACATTTAAATAGATTATTCGTTACTTAAAACAAAGGATCAAATTGATGTTTCTTTAAATATGGGTTCCAAAACACAAACTTTTGGAGTACGGACATGTCTAGGGAATGACGTTTTGGGTCATTGAAAAGGAATTTAAGATGTTTTAAAAATAGTTTTAAAAAATATAAATGGGTGATGAATAAAACACATTGCGAGCTGTTATTTAACAATTTTGGAATAAAATATTAACAAATATTCCATGTGAAATGTGGCGCGGACTAAGAGTTGACATATTTTTGTGGAATGACCCTTATACAACCCTGACGCTTGAGCTGCGAGGTAGATCAATTCTGAATACAAAAAAATTGCGCTCTTGTGAGCGTAGTAGTAAGGTGCGATTTCGAATGCACCATGTGCGTTGGATATTTTGCATTATTATTATTACCGTTAAAATGTCGGCATCTGATCCTACACAAAGGAGTGCAATTTCTGTTGCTACTATTATGTATTCTGTGCCTACATGTTCAAATACTGATTATGCGTTACATAAATACTGACATCCTTCGGCGCCTTGGCGACCAGCCTCAGCCGCTCCAGCTCACCCGGGCGCCTGAGCCTCGTTACAGCGGGCGAGGGCTGCCCTCCCTCTGCGCCTCCGGCTTTTAAATTACATTTTAGGGGTAGGGCAGACAAGACTACGTGGAGTCGGTTTTGCAGCGATTCGTTTCTGTCACGTTAGTTTTGTGGCACAAAATATTGCCTGTTTTGGACCATTTCAAATTAATTTAATGTTAAAATACGATTTAATACGAATATAGACATCATGATTTTCAATAATATGGATAAATACACTTATGAGTAATAAATTTATGAAAACAAATATTAGGATACATCACATTTATGAATATTATAGTTATTTTTTCGAATGATTAAGAGTTTCGATCATTAGTATAGAAAAATATATGAAAACAAATATTAGTAAAAACTAAGTGTATGATTAGTGATATTATGAATATCAATGATTATGTTTTTAAATATGTAGGTTTTAAATTTTTTATGAAGAATGATCATTATGGTATCAAATTGTATGAGAAATATTTTCGGACCTCCAATGATAGGAATTGAAAAGTTATGTAAGAAAATGCGCTACCGTGTTCGAGTGGTAAGACCATCTGCTTCAGACTCAGTTTGTTATAAACTAATAGATTACTTATTCGGACTGAGCAACTTGATAGTCTCCCAGTTCCCAGTTTTCCAACCTCCCATGATAAGTTGTCACTTGTCGCACCGTGACCCGTATGCGCGGGATCCGAGGGCGGCGGCGCCCCGCGGCGCGGCACTGCGGGCCTACTACCGCCGTGATTACAAGAACAACTAGGCACGTTGCCATGATAACGCACACGGCTACCATTTGAACACGAACAGAGAACACTACTAAAGTCTGACACTCGTATACACAAACGCTTGCTTAAGTGAAGTAGCTAATCGAACGCGCAGCGGTGAATAGAGCTCTGTGGTTGGTTCGTGTGGCACACTGTGCGTCCACGCACACTGTGAGACCTCATAGTAATGTTTGTGAATACGGCCGTGAATCTCTTTCTCTACTATTTTTGAAAATCATTGTTCATTTCTTTGTTAATTGCATTGATAACCGTATTTATCGTCTTACATCGTTCTTCGTTAGTTCGTTTGTTTCTGGCGAAATACGTCCACTGCTGGACAAAGGCCTCCCCCTAGGATTTCCACAAAGACCGGTCCTACGCCGCTCGCATCCAGGCATCTCCCGCAACCTTCACCAGATCGTCGGTCCACCTAGTGGGAGGCCTGCCCACGCTACGTCTTCCGGCTCGTGGTCGCCACTCAAGAACTCGTACGTACATCGTTCTATTGGAAACTAAAATTTAGACTTTCCAAAGCCACTTTACTGGTTTCAATTGGAAAGCTGGGAAGCTCAAGTACTAAGCACTTAAATACTTAGTTCTACAGTAGAGCGTGCAAAAGCGACGAGCAGTTCATCGACCAACGCGGGGATAACCCACGACGCGAACACAAATTGATTCGCGTCTGTAGCGTCTTAAACCTTTTCATTAACAGTTATCTACTTTCTTACCACCGCACTTTAGGATTTCCCCATTGAAATTGATCTTGGATTATTTGCTTGATCGTAATATCACGATCCGTTGTGGCTGATTCGCTGCTAATGAGTTAATACACGTCTTGAGCAGGTCAGGTAGGTACTTTTGTTATAAAAAGGTGTTGGTAACATTCATTTTCACCGTTATCTGGTGTACATGTCCTTATCCTCTTGACCTTCTTACTATAAATCCTTTCACATTCTTACCATATTTTCAACCGACTTCAAAAAAAGGAGGAGGTTCTCAATTCGACCCGTATGTTTTAATCAAAATAATGTCCTACATACAAGTCTGTCAGTTAGGACAATCTTCTATGTAGAGGTACATATTTTTTTATAAAGTTATTCACTTCCTCGATGAACCTCTTCTGCCCCCCAGACTGAGACTGGTAGGCTAAGTGATCCTGACTCCAGGATGAGTGCTGCTAAGGCTCGTGGTAGCGGCGGCTTTCGGCGCCGCGCCGCCGAGAGCCGGCAATTTGCGGACCTTTCACAATTGCGACCGCTTTAACCAACCACCGTGTAGGTACTAGGTAGGTACACTCCGCAGCGAATCTACCTTCCTCCAGACCTGACGGCTATGAAAAAAACACGAAAATCGATTTGATGAAGCTTGCTCTTAATAATTTATTTGAGCACATGGGTTTTCACGTCATGGCTGACTGATTAACTAGTCGTTAAGTGTTCTAAATTCTGAAAATGCTTAATTTACGTTACTAATTGTACTACTAAAGTTTTCAATGGGTTGATTGCAATTTAATTAGGTAGTTTACTTGTATTTTTTTTATCCACAACGAGGAAGCTCTTGGCCTGTATCTCACCTGATGGTAAGTGACGATCAGGCCGAAGGTGGAAGCTAGCTTCACCCGGAATCCTCAACCACGGAGGAACTGGCTATCTTACCTCTAACTGCCGGAACAAAATAATGCTGTTAACATTGTTGTTATGGCGACAGACTTAGGTAAAATGGTAGTAGCTAGCCAGGCGTACTTAGAACAAGCCCTGGTTGGTGGTACAACCAAACCGAACAGAAAAATCTGCCCCCACTTCGAATCGAACCCGGGACCTCTGCGTCTGAAGCAGGTGGTCTTACCACTAGACCACAGAGGCGGTTAAGGTTAATTTACTATACCAGTTCCGGCGACGACCGAAATACTAAGTTTTATCAGACAGTCAAATAATTATTGTTTTTATAAATAAATAATATCCTATTTTAGGTAAAGATGCATCTAAAGTGTTGTTTTTTATTCTTATTTTTTAAATCCCGCATATGGTGGTCTCTGCATCATTGGAGGAGTTTGATGTGTGGTCCGAGTGTACGGGCCGGGTCGCGCTGGGCCGCAAGTTCAAGGGCGGGGGCCCGCCGCGCCGACCTACATCGCCGCGCGCTGTTGTGCCTGTTGCCGCCCGCTGTTGTGCCTGTTGCCGCCCGCTCTAGCCGCCCGCCCGGGAGGCAGGGCCGCTCCAGCCGGTACGTAAACAACGCTATTAACTCGCTTCTCGGTACGCACTTTGTTTGTTGTGGATCGCTATCAAAACATTTGAACTTTATGTCTGGGTCTATTGAACTTTTAGCCACTTCCCCAACACGGTAAAGAACTACAAATGTCATCGACGAATATTGTGGGTTTATTTAATAGTACGTAGGTAGGTATTTTGTATTTCACTTACTGTATTTTACTAATCGTTTTGTACTATTCTGATTAAGAACGAAATTTACATTTCATTGACCTTCCAATATGTTACTTGTAACTTCCTAAGTTTAGTATGCACCTACTTTCAATTAGGCACCAATAATAATTGTGGTTATTTATTAAAACCAAAAGGGACACATCGAGAATATTAAGTTACAATTATTAATACCACAGTATAACAGGATATATTAATAATATTAAAATCAGTGCCGGCGCCCGATGACACACGCGCCGGGACTCGCACCGGCGTGAATGGATAACGGATTGCGGTTACAACACCGAATAATTATGTAAACATCCTATTTAACTTCATTAATTAAAACCAAGAGGAAAATAGTATAATAATTACAAATTACAGGATCAGAGTGACGTATGTAATGTTTATTATTTATTTAGAGACAAGACAATCTAATGCTGCGTTTACACTGCGCGGAAATTAGCCAAGTCAAGTCAAAAAAACAGTTGATGAATTATGAATGAATTTCATCCCCACTCCTCTGTTTTTTTGACTTGACTCGGCTAATTTCCGCATAGTGTAAAAGCAGCATAACATTCCGATCGTTCGATTTCGGGCGCCGTAGCAGCGTAGCGGGGCCGAGCATGGACAGGCGTGCCCGCGCGCCGGTGGGCGGGGGGCGGGGCTGGCGCGCGCGCAGGCCCCTCCCCCTTTGCAGCCCCGGCCAATAGGCTAGATGACAAAATTTTAATTATTTGTCCGTCAGACAGATAATTAGAAAATATTCGACTCGTATTTATCATTTTCTTTCATAATTAAATAATAACAGCGCTACATCGAGTTGAAATGGCGCGATACGTCACGCTTGAGTAGAATTTTTACTCAATAGTGACGTCACGCGACATTTCAATTCAATATAATACTGTAATTATTCGATTATGGAATAAATAAAATATATGAGTCTAATATTTCCTAATTATCTGCCTGAAGGACTAAATAGAATTTCGATTTCATTACCCAGTCATCATCCCTATTCGACGCCCGCCTAAAAGTATTTTCATCGCGTGTATTTTCACTCATAACCCCAATTTTAGCAATATGGTTACTCAAATCAGCTCGCTGAGGTCATTAATGTAGTTTTCCTGTCAAATAATGCATTTTGAAACGAGCTTCCCCAACGTCGACTTCGTCCAGCGAGCTGTGAACTTTGTTGGCGTCATGGGAAAACGAATTCTTGTCTAGTTCAGTCTTGTGTTGAGTGAGCGACCGCGTTTTCCGCGCTTCCTTCGCGACAAAAATCCTGTTATTCACAAAGAATGTGGCACGTGCGCACGAGACGCGTAAATGCCGCGGAAGAAGGAAACTTGTTCTTAACGATATAGTTTCCATCCATTAAATTCTTGACTGTACCAACGGATTTCAAATTAATCATTCCAACAAATCAAAAAATATGATTATTCATTTTATCATCACATTAACAAATTAATGTTAAATAACTCACGCAATGCACCATACAAAAGATTTCAACGCATTCCAAACCCCCTGTTTATTTTTATCTACAATCTATTTATTTTTTCTAATATTTTCTTAATACAATATGTACTTAATAACATTCATCAGTGGAACATACTTGTAATAATATGGAATAGTAGTTAGTTAATTAATAACCGCGGCTTCGCCCGCTTTAAAGGCAGTATTTCACAGATGACAAATACCTACCTACCTACTGTAAGTAAAGTTTTATCAAAATCCTTTCAATAGATTTTGCGTACAAGAGTAGGTACTGACACGTATCCTCACATTCAATAATAGTGCGATACCTTCTATTTTACTTAATAGTGCATTCGCACCACGATAATAAGGCATTGATCTCATTTAGGACTGAAAAATTAATTAGGTAGGTACTTATTGATTTAATTCCCAAGCTTCCAAAATACGTAGATAGCCTTTCAAGTGAAAAATAAATATAAATAAATAAATAGTCTTTATTTTCTCATCACAAACATTACAATGACACAAGTTATTAAGCACATTACAATTTATAAAACAAAGTTGTTTGTGTGAGACTGATGCCTGTGATAGGTATTTGCATACCTGTAGTACAGGTCATCAGGCCCCCACCACCCCAGATATTGGCACAATTTAGGCAGTCAAAGTCAATATGTAATGAATTATTTTGTGAAATCTAGTTTCTCTGTGGTTGAGGATTCCAAATGAGATATAGGCAAGTGCTTCCTCGTTGTGGATACCTAATTAAAAAGTTGATCACCTAATAATGTTTAGAATAGCTTTGTTACCTATTTCGCTAGTCAATACCGAGATGCCGGGGTTACTTTAGCTCTAGGGGGCAACTTTGGCCCAAAACAAAAGAGCATGTTATTTTATTACTCACCTCCTCATAATAGCAATGTCGATGAAAATAAATACATCTACGGAACGTAAATAAAACATTGTAATTTATCCAAATTAATTTATTATCTCCTTAGCATCGCACTGTGTCAAACTGTCAACACGTTAGTAGTAAATTACGATTCTTATGTAGAGTAACAAAACAACAAAAGTGGAACACTCTTCAAATAGCTGATATTACATTTTGTTCACAAAAACGTATAATTCTTCCGAGCTTATACATTTCCAAAAATACTATTACACAATCAACATGTAGGTTATGAAAACTGGTCTATATCTAGTTTCTAGTTCTATTATAAAATTTAACAAAAAAACATGAAACAGAGAACAATACACATCAAATGTGTAATGTTCATATAACATCAAAAAAGCTATACATTATTAAGTAAATGTATTTAGGAGAGCAATACGTAAAAATAAACATACAAAAAAAACTTAAACTTAATTATAACATAAAAAAGGCTTCGTAAAGCTTGCTAAATGCAATGAACACGTACAAAAAGTTACAATACAGTCCTGCATATCTGCTTTTTGTAGTCCAACGGACTACAAAAGGCATCAAGTTTGTTTCGGCGTGCGGTCGCGCCCGCGCGGCGATTCCGACGGGCGCCTGCTGCCGCTGCTCCTGCAATGTTGCCAGTCGTCAATGTCAAACCGTGTCAACACAAAAGTGGGCATAGTAAGTGCCTTATTCCTGTGATGCGATTTTCGCTTTTCAATATTTCATACATGTATTTCCTATTATGCTGGATGCACGCACGCAGAACGGAAAAACATGTATAACATCACACTACCCACCCATTGACAACTGATGAACTGACCCTCCTCTCACGACATCTGCTGGAAGAGATGTCGTGTCATCTCTTACGCCCGTATTCACAAACGACGCTTGCTTAAGTAAATGATGTGATGCAGTATATCGAACGCACAGCGTTGAATAGAGCTCTGTGATTGGTTCGTGTGTAACCCTGTGCGTCCACGCGCTCTGTGAGACCTCATAGTAATGTTTGTGAATACGGGCGTTATTACACCTCACTAAGGCCCAGTTTTTTGATTCGTAGTTAAAATAACCCATAGTTAAATTTGACAGATGTCAAATGACAAGTGGTTAAATATCAGAAAAATGTGTTTTTCGAACAATGGTTAGCTTGACTTTTAGTACATTTTTTAACTATTTGTTTACAATTTGTTAATATTTAACCATTAGTAGCAAAATTTAACAATTAGTTATTTTAACTATGAATCAAAAAACCGGCCAAGTGCGAGTTGGACTCGCGCACCGAGGGTTCCGTACAAACCTGCAAGGTTTACAAAGTTCGTTCATTACGACAATCGAGTCATAACTATGGTATTTTTATTGCAAAATGAAATTCATAAGTTTATATTTATTAAAAAATATATATTTTGTAATGTAACTAAAAATTTAAGGTTTTCGGAATTTTTCCTTTATGTGTGCTATAAAACGTTGCTTCATGCCAAATTTCAAGATTCTAGGTCGACTGGAAGTACCCTTTAGGTTTTGATTCCCTTGCGAGTACTTGCGAGTTTCAAAATATGCAGCTTAAATTGCTGTTTCTTTTGTTTTCGTTGACATAGAAGTTTGATTTTGTTACAGCTTAAAGGTATTATAGATCTGAGTATTTGGTATGAATTTCAATTTAATACCTCTACGCGTTTGTGAGGAAATGGGTAGTAAGTTTAAAATTATTTAAAAAAAATATATTATGTGATGTAACTAAAAATTTATGGTTTTCGTAATTTTTCCTTTATCTATGCTATAAGACGTTGCTTCGTACCAAATTTCAAGATTCTGAGTTCACGGGAAGCACCCTGTAGGTTTTGATTCCCTTGCAAGTGTCGAAAATTTGCGGCATAAAAAGATACAGCCGTATCTTTTGATTGCGTTGGCTTAGAAGTTTGATTTTTTCACAGCTTCAAGGGACATAGACCTGAGTAATTGATATAAATTTCAGCTTCATACCTCCACGCGTTCCTGAGAAAAAGGGTCTTGACAGACGGACGGACAGACGGACAACAAAGTGATCCTATAAGGGTTCCGTTTTTTCCTTTTGAGGTACGGAACCCTAAAAACTGGGCCTAAAGGGACGAAACTAACTAAGATAGCGTTATTGAGTTGGTGTATAAAAGCTTTGTATAGATATTTTCATAAAAATAAAATCAGTTTTTCTAATGCAGGAAATAATAACATCATCAACATACCAGCGGGCAGCCTGCGAGCGCGCGCGCGGCGCCGCGTGCACCTCGGCACTCACGCGCAGCCAGCGGCCGCTGTGGGGACCAAACGTCAGTTGGATACTATAGGTCGACGCTTACCTCAGTGTCTGAGGTATGGCAGCAGCACGGGAGTGATTTTGCGTCGGTCAAATGTCAGCGGGACTTCAGATTTGTATGCCCTGTCAGCACTCTCGTGCCGCTTCCATGCCTCAGGCGCTAGCTGAGTTAAGACCTATAACAACCTAGCTATGCAGCAACACATCGACTCGATCGATATGAGTAGGTACGTGACTCTACAAAATCTATTACTGTTATCCACTTCCTTATCTCCCGCTTCTTCCTATGTTATACACTTCCTTATCTCCCGCTCCAAGAGCGAATTGGATATTCCTTGTAAAAAGTAGGATGATACTAAAATTTTGATAGAAGTTGTTGCTATGCAACATGCTCTGTAACATGTTGTATCATTTGTACCCCTTTATACAAACTTATTAATATTAGTTTGCTATAATATAATAATTAATAATAATAAATAATGTATTTAAAAAAAAAAGTATATAAGTAGTATATTATATCCGTTAAGCTAGCACCCATAACACAAGCATTAAGTTGCTTACTTTGGGGCTAGCTGGCGCTGTGTGAAATTGTCCAAAGATTTATTTATTTATTTATTTATAATATGAAGCTATACTCATTACCAGAGTTATGCAAAAGTATTCCTTAACCGATCGCCTAGACCAGGGCTGGTCATTTCTGCCAACGAAATAATGTACTAACGACAGCACATCAGACTATTTTTCAGACATTGTTGCTGCAAAATAGCGCTTATCACAATTAGGCCCTTTTCACATGTTCCGGTTGCCGGCTAACCGGCGCCGGGTACCCAGTGGTGAAGTGTATGGGCATGCCGGATTAATTACGCCGGAACATGTGAAAGCTACGTACCATGCCCATACACTTCACCACCAGATACCCGGCGCCGGTTAGCCGGCAACCGGGACGTGTGAAAAGGGCCTTACATTAGAAGCCGCAGTGTTTAACCTGATGTGCTGGCGTCTGTACATGCAGCTCCTTTATCACTAAATGTTTTTCTTACCTGGTGTGTGTCCGGGCGCGCTTGGCGGGCGGCGTGCTGGCCGGGCTGGCCGAGCGCGTGCTGGCAGGCGTGCTGCGGGAAGGTGCGGTATTGTTATGTTTCAAACCAAACTACAACACTACACTACACAAGTTTTCTCGCGTGCTTTCGTGACATTTATATCGTGGGAAAGCCATGCTTCGGCACGAATGGGCCGACTCGACCGGAGTGATACCACGGCCTCACAGAAAACCGGCGTGAAGCAGCACTTGTGTTGTGTTTCGCCGAGTGAGTGAGGGTACCGGAGGCCCCCCTTTGGTCAGGTGCGCCCCAGTACCAGCTTCTCCCTCTGGACCGCATTGAACGGAGAGCAGCTCGAATCGTTGACTGCCAGGACATTTCGGATCCGCTTGACCCCTTGGCGCTGCGTAGAGATGTATCCTCACTGTGCATCTTCTATCGCATGTATCACGGGGAGTGCTCCGAAGAAATATCCGGACTTATTCCTGCCGCCACTATTCGCCACCGATCTACCCGACAGCACTTCCACCCCCATCACTTAGATGGTTGGCAGTCCACCACAGTACGTTTTTCTAGAAACTTCCTGCCCCGTACAACCAAACTGTGGAATGGACTGTCGTCTGCGGTGTTTCCGGACGGATACGACCTGCAAGCTTTCAAGAGGAGAGCGTATCTTTATCTTAAAGGCCGGCAACGCACCTGTAACGCCCCTGGGTCTGCGGGTGNCGATCTACCCGACAGCACTTCCACCCCCATCACTTAGATGGTTGGCAGTCCACCACAGTACGTTTTTCTAGAAACTTCCTGCCCCGTACAACCAAACTGTGGAATGGACTGTCGTCTGCGGTGTTTCCGGACGGATACGACCTGCAAGCTTTCAAGAGGAGAGCGTATCTTTATCTTAAAGGCCGGCAACGCACCTGTAACGCCCCTGGGTCTGCGGGTGTCTATTTTTTTTTTTTTTTAGATATCAAAATACGTTCCGTGTCTTATCCACAGACGCTAGACTAAAAGGTCAAAAAACGATACACGCGCTTGCAAAAATGACAGCGCGTTCGAAATAGCAGAGCGCGTGGATGGTCATGACAATTCTGCTAAAAGTAAGTGGAAAATTTCAGAGATCTTTCGAGGTGAACGCACGAAACAACAAAAGTTTAGCTCTACGGATTGACGCTGAATCTTTTTTTCGCCGATCGCACTGCTCGCAAATTAAAAATCTAAATATAGTTTTAAAAAAGACCTGTGTGCCTAATGCCGCATGAAGCGTGTATAATAATAGAGAGCCTGAGAGGTTCCGCATGACGCTGATGTCAGTGAGAAGTTTGCGTTAAGGCCTCTGTCACACTCGACGGAAACGCCGGAGCGGGTCTACCACCGATACAAGGTACTGCACGTGATTAAAACGCGCATGTCACACCACGCGAGTTGATCTTGCTCCGATTTGTGAGCAATACCACAAAATATAACAGAAGGTAAACTCCATACTAAGTGAGCTCGAGCCACGCACACCACACATAGACACCGCTCACGTACGCGTTATCAAGACTGTCTCGGACGAATGCGAGGCGCGACTGCGTTCGCTTGAGTGACGCTGCTCACGCGTTTGTGAAATATATTTTTTGTGCGAAAATGAGTGAACAACAAAAAAGGGGTATTATAATATTTGTTAAGTAGATGGTTGCTTACACTCAACATTAAAAACTAAATTTTCGTTTTAACTAACTAAATTGATTCCGGGAGGTAAGTAAGGTATTTATTTGTATTTCAATAGTTCGTTTAACGTTGACAAATTGAAAGCCAACTCAATTATTAGGAATATCGAAGTGTTTTAAAGAGCTTTTAGGAATTATTGGATAATAGTGTCAACCACCCAACTACGTACTACGTCATACTACTTCCTTCTCGTGTTTGCATCATACGTGGATAATGTTTATATCTGTTATTGTCTTTCTTCCATAGTACCTATTAAAAGTTTTATTTTTCTATCATAACGAAATAAACGCAACACGTGACAAGACAACCCTAGCGCGACGGCCGAGCGCAGGTATGCGAAGCGAAGTACATACATGAGTTTACCTTATGTTATATTTTGTGGCAATACCTTGCTTTGCGCAAGATCTGCAACGGCATTTCCGTAAGTGTAGCAAAGGTCTAAATGTTTGTGTTAATCCTAGATCGCCCACCTGGACTGGTCGCTGGCGCGCTTGCGGCGCGGCGGAAGGCGCGGCGAGCGGCGCGGCCGGCGACGGGCTCTGAGGAGTAATTGTTTGATAACCTTAGTCCGATCAAAGAATTTTTCGTTTAAAGATTTTTTTCCAGGCGTCAGAATATGATATATCTTGTAAAGCAAACTTCAGCAATATTACTTGAAAGTTAAGCCTCCTGCAACTAGTCATCACGATCACGAGGTGCTTCAAACTCTTAATGTAGCTAGTAGTTTAAAATTTTAATTGTTTCCTGAATTAAAATCCGAATTTAAACAAATAATTAATATACAGAAAGAAAATAAAATTAAGAAATAAACTTAAAAAATAATTATCATACAATAAAATAACTTCGAAAAACTACAACTACCAACCCAAAAACTAAAATAAATGTAATACTACTTGCATAAAATAAATATATTTTAATCGCCACACCCATATTTCAAATAGTCATATCAGTTACTTACCAACAATACAAACTGGTACTCATTATCCTCACTACACTACGTACTCAATCAACGTATCGATTGCCATTTTATTAAAATTTCGCCATACTCGCTCTACATTACCCACCCAAAATAATATTCAAAAACTCCGCCGTTACAGGAAAATTATACCTCTACCGACGACTAAACATTTGTTGCAATTTAAAACCAGGGACCTCACCAGTCTTCACTAGTATTATATTTATATTTATCTAACTGATAAATATAATATCGGAAATAACTCGATCACAGTAATAATAGTATGCTGCATTTTATGAACCCATTTTGTAAATAATAAATTTTGTAAATAATAAAATCCGGCTGCGAGGGCGTTACTCAATGTAGTGATCAATGAAGAGTAAGGTAACGTCACTACGAATCTTATGACACTAATGAAGGTTTTTGAATAAAATAAGAGAATACAAATATCAATTTAATTATAAAAATATATATTCCAAACTATCAATATTAATAATTAAATACAACAATTTAACAATAATTAGACATACAACGGTCCTCCAAGCAAGACTCGCCCAGTTATTAAAACATGAAATTAATTTCACATACGTTCTAATCAAAGGACATCACAATATTATCTCTCCCAAAAACAACGAAAATTCATTCACAACAATATTACGTTAACCCGTTCACCGTCACAAACCCAGGACCGCCGTATTCCGTTGAACAAATCTTTAAGGCACGACACTCATAAAAATTCCAAAGACAACGAGATCTTCAAGTTCTCAACCGAAGGCATCAAATGTGATGACTTTGGAATTTTCATAGTCAGTTCAGCCTTAAAGATATACATAAAATATCTAACTACTTACTATAGCTACTTACTCTAACTACATACTGAACAAATACATAAATAATATGGTCTATTTTAAAATGTGAAATAGGTCTGTGTATAATAAAATAATATTCGAAACATTATTTGTATGGGTATAACCGGCAAATTCATTTCATATTCTATGTACATACATATCATACATTGTAATTTCAATTTGAAGTCTCTATAGGATTTCATTTCATACATAAATTATTACATTATAAAAAATTGTTGATTGTATAGTCACTACTGTTTATCAATTCCAAAGTTTATTTCACAGGCTCGATAGGCCCATTTAATTACTCTAGAAGTCTTTAGTGGTCAGTCGACACGAATATAGCTTAAAAATAAGTAAGTGTCCAAGTGTCGCTACACCAAGCACCACAACCGCCGCCAGCGATCCGCACTGTTCGTGATCTAACAAAACGTTTATTTTCAGGCATTTCGGGCTGACCCACCCGAGTCTCGACTATAAAAATCTTCAAGCACCATTTCTACGGTGGTAATAGTCAAGTACCGGTCGCGACAGCGCACGCAACATAAAGAAGCCAGTACCTCTAACACGAAAAACTTACGTCTTCGAATCGTTTGCGTATTTGACAAAATTGGATAACCAGAGCCCCGATTACGGTAATTTTTAACGTCTACAATCCAGACGCTCTTCTTCGATTCTGCGATACGACTGGTCAAAACAGTCAGCTGTCAGTCAACGTCAGCTGTTTCGACCAATCGTATCGCAGAATCGATGAAGCGCGTCTGGATTGGAGACGTTAAAAATTACCGTAATCGGGGCTCAGCCTTCGAAATCAACGATAACGTGAAAATTAATTTGTCAAAAATTGTTCTGTTTTACCATTTCTCATACTAAGTTCACTTTCCGTGATGGTTACGGAGGTGCTATTTATACATATTTTCATACTTCTTTTCGAATACGCAAATGATTCGAAGTCGAAAGTTTTTGGTGTTAGTACAGGTGGAGCAGCCCGTCGTCACCCGACACGTTAAACGTCAGATTCACTCAAACGCCACGAAACCGCTTCACCACACTTCACATTCCGTCTCCCACTAACGATGTACCGCGAAACCGTTTCACCACACTTCACGTTTTCCAAAGTGGGGAACTTTTAACGATGTAGGGACGTGCGGAGAAGCGGTTTAAGTTGGAGCTAGCCGCGGTAGGGCTTGGGCAGCGAGCGCCAGCGGCGGCGGCGGCGGCGGCGGCGGCCTCACCCCGCGTCGCCGTCCGACTCGCCCTCCTCGGGCGCCGACCCCGCCTCCGGTACCTCCGCGTCCTCCTCCTCCGCCGGCCCGCCTGCAACGGAACCACTGTTACTGCGCTGCAACTATGACACACCTAACGAGTATGTAAAAAGTTGAAACCGCTTTGATAATGCGGCAGTAGTATTAGAGTAAATACAAATGAGTAGGGTATCTTCATAGAAACGCACCGAGCGCGGTTTGTATGTGAGCGCGCCAATATACTTATGCGGCGCGCACGCACACACTGACAAAATTCGGCGCAAGCACGATTGGCTCCCCGTAAATTTTTGTCAGTGTGTGCGTGTGCGCCGCATACGTGTTGGCGCGGTCACATACAAACCACGCCTGTGCGTTTCTATAAAGATGACCTACTCATTTGTATTTACTCTGGTAGTATTTAGCTACTATTTCTATTTGTGTATTTCGTTCATTTGTTTCAGCCGAAAGACGTCCACAGCTGGACAAAGGCCTCCCCCAAAGATTTCCACAAAGACCGGTCCTGCGCCGCTTGCATCCAGGCACCTCCCGTGACCTTCACCAGATCGTCGGTCCACCTATTGGGAGGTCTATTTGTTTACACACCTGACTTTGACTTAGCAGTAGTAACATAACTAATTAATTTCATTTTTTTTGACAGATTTAACATCAAAGAAAGCACGCTTCGAACAAAACTAGACCACGAGGCTTCAAGCTTGAGAGTTGTCATTGATGTCACTTGGTTCGCACCTCGCCCCACGTTACAGTAGCGGTGCAGCCCAGCTGTAGTGTGGCATGACTCACCGCGGGCGCGGCGCGCGTAGTGCTTGCGCGTGGGCGGCGGGCGCTCGTCGGGCGAGTCGGTGAGCAGCGAGTTGCGGTAGGTGCTGAGCGGCGCCCACTCCTCGCCCCACGTTACAGTAGCGGTGCAGCCCAGCTGTAGTGTGGCATGACTCACCGCGGGCGCGGCGCGCGTAGTGCTTGCGCGTGGGCGGCGGGCGCTCGTCGGGCGAGTCGGTGAGCAGCGAGTTGCGGTAGGTGCTGAGCGGCGCCCACTCCTCGCCCCACGTTACAGTAGCGGTGCAGCCCAGCTGTAGTGTGGCATGACTCACCGCGGGCGCGGCGCGCGTAGTGCTTGCGCGTGGGCGGCGGGCGCTCGTCGGGCGAGTCGGTGAGCAGCGAGTTGCGGTAGGTGCTGAGCGGCGCCCACTCCTCGCCCCACGTTACAGTAGCGGTGCAGCCCAGCTGTAGTGTGGCATGACTCACCGCGGGCGCGGCGCGCGTAGTGCTTGCGCGTGGGCGGCGGGCGCTCGTCGGGCGAGTCGGTGAGCAGCGAGTTGCGGTAGGTGCTGAGCGGCGCCCACTCCTCGCCCCACGTTACAGTAGCGGTGCAGCCCAGCTGTAGTGTGGCATGACTCACCGCGGGCGCGGCGCGCGTAGTGCTTGCGCGTGGGCGGCGGGCGCTCGTCGGGCGAGTCGGTGAGCAGCGAGTTGCGGTAGGTGCTGAGCGGCGCCCACTCCTCGCCCCACGTTACAGTAGCGGTGCAGCCCAGCTGTAGTGTGGCATGACTCACCGCGGGCGCGGCGCGCGTAGTGCTTGCGCGTGGGCGGCGGGCGCTCGTCGGGCGAGTCGGTGAGCAGCGAGTTGCGGTAGGTGCTGAGCGGCGCCCACTCCTCGCCCCACGTTACAGTAGCGGTGCAGCCCAGCTGTAGTGTGGCATGACTCACCGCGGGCGCGGCGCGCGTAGTGCTTGCGCGTGGGCGGCGGGCGCTCGTCGGGCGAGTCGGTGAGCAGCGAGTTGCGGTAGGTGCTGAGCGGCGCCCACTCCTCGCCCCACGTTACAGTAGCGGTGCAGCCCAGCTGTAGTGTGGCATGACTCACCGCGGGCGCGGCGCGCGTAGTGCTTGCGCGTGGGCGGCGGGCGCTCGTCGGGCGAGTCGGTGAGCAGCGAGTTGCGGTAGGTGCTGAGCGGCGCCCACTCCTCGCCCCACTGCACGCCGTGCGAGATGCGCGAGTCCAGGAACTGCGGACGATGCTTTGTGAGGATCAACACTGACAAAAGGTATCACACAATCCTACTAATATTATAAATGCGAAAGTTTGTGTGGATGTCTGGATATTTATTACTCTCACGCAAAAATTACTGAACGGATTTTGTTGAAACTTTACAGTATTATTGTTTATGACCCAGATTAACATAAAGGCTATAATTTATGACGATATGTGACTAAATTTCACGCGGGTGAAGCCGCGGGCAAAAGCTAGTCATTTAAAACACAAAAATCATCTATCATTATTTCAGCCTCTATTGAACAGGTCTCTTCCAATGATTTCCATATCGCCCGGTTGGTTGAGGCCTGCATCCAAAGACTTCTTGCTACCTTTATGAGGTCGTCACTCCACCTTGGGGGCGGACGTCTCACGCTGCGTTTCCCGATACGTGGCCCAGAACCTTGCTGCCCCATCGTCCGTCAGTTCTACGTATTATGTGCCCTGCCCATTATGTGCCCTGCCCATTGTCACTTCAGCTTACTAACCCGTCGGGCAATCGCGACTTTAATTCGATTTTTTTCAGTTTTGTCATATTTTTGTTCTCCAAGATATACGCCTGTATTCACAAACGATACTTGCTTAAGTGAAACAGTAAATCGAACGCACAACACTGAATAGAGTTCTGTGATTGGTTCGTGCGCCACCCTATGCGTCCAGTCGCACTGTGAGACCTCATAGTAATGTTTGTGAATACGGGTGAATGTTATAAAACCAATTTCCAGCGGTCTGACCTTGAGCACCTGTCGCTTGTCCTGGCGCAGCAGGCGGTTGGAGAACTCGGCGAGCGGCTCGAGGAACAGCAGGTGCGGCGGCGGCGCGGCGGCCGCGTCCACGGCGGCGAAGGCGATGCCGGCGCGGTGCAGCGCCACCAGCGCCTCGCGGTTCTTCACCGCGTCCAGCCCGAACATCACCGAGAAACGCTTCGCCAGCTCCTACGACAGGTCATGTCGCGTCAGTTGGGACGTCAGATTTGAACGACCCTCGGGAAACCGAGCAGGATATACAGGTTGTTAGGTAAATGGCTATATGAGCCGACACTAGCCCATGTTAACATGGGCATATAAATGGTATGGTGAAGTCAGAAAATTGATATCTTCATTTTAATTATTTTAATTTTCATACAAATCTGATTTTATAAAATTCATTTTGTATGAAATTTAAAAATTTTAAATGATTTCNTGTTAACATGGGCATATAAATGGTATGGTGAAGTCAGAAAATTGATATCTTCATTTTAATTATTTTAATTTTCATACAAATCTGATTTTATAAAATTCATTTTGTATGAAATTTAAAAATTTTAAATGATTTCAAACTGACTTCACTATACCATTTATATGCCCATGTTAACATGAGCTAGTGTCGGCTCATATACCCATTTACCTAACACCCTGTAGATCAATTCATCCACGAAGACTTTTTGGTCGGAGAATTTGATCCATACAAGCAATCCGGGCGTAGTTATTGTGGTATGCGTGTGCACTCATGGATGCGTCATTATTGTTGTACACGCACACTGCAATAGTGACGCTCTAACTGCTCGGATCAAACTCCCCACGCCCCGCGCTTATCTTATATTATAGTGGTGGGGCGCGACTTCGTGGATAAAACGACCTAAACAACGGTATATCACTTTCAAAATAATTCTATAAATACTTTCTAATTAAATAAAGCAGCTGCGCTTTTAATGTGAATAAACATAATCCCTATAATATACTGCCTAAGTTACAACGAAAAACTTTTACACAATTTCAATCCGAAACCAAAAATCTTATCGTCACATCATAGACATGGGAAAGTTGAGCTACTTTACTTTTCCCGGTATGAATACGGTTCATTAGTAATTCCTCGTAACCTTCAGACAAGGTTATTGCGCCCTTCCACATTGTGCGCCCTCATTATCCCCCCCACTTGATAGCCCGAAAATCAGATCACGCTGGGGACAATTGAAAAAAATACCAACATTTCTTTTTATTACTATGATTATGATTACATCGTTTTTTTGAAAAATAACGTCCTTCTAATATTTTGTACAGCAAAATATTGTTTTCAATATTTTGACGGAATTTGTTTACATATTTTGGCTGACAACACTTTTATGTTCACCACTTCCTTCCTACCTTTTACCTTAGAATAGAATAGAATAATTGTTTATTTGCATAAAACATGGTATACACTTACCTATTTAAATAATATAACAATAATGTAGTGTAGCCTTCCAAAAATTGCAATACCTCAACTAGGTTACTAAGGCTAGGTTGCACCATTTTACTTTAACAAACGTCAAAAATCTGTCAAACTCAATACAAAAAGTACCGGTTATCGTTATAGTTACCCACACCTATTAATAAAAAGTTACATCTAAGATGAACACTGGATTAAAATTATATTTCCATGCTAAATGACAATTTAAGCCAGAGTTTAACTAGGGTGTAACTTTTATTAAAAAAGAGGTTAAAGTTAGGTGATGCAACTCAGCCTAAGTTTTAAGCACTGTATTTAGTTATAAGACTTAACTAACAAACACATATGACTATGTTTTCTTCTTCGTTCTTCTTCTCAGCACTTGCCAAATGTTGGTCTCGAAGCGCTGGTAGGGTAAAAAGATTATGAGACATGTAGAGGCTCCTTAAGAGCAAAATATTTGACGATTTGTAAGAACTATTTAATAGTCTATACCAGCGGTTCCCGAATGGTGGTCCGCGGAACCCTGGGGTTCCGTGGAAAGGCCGCAAGGGTTCTATAAAAAATATTATCCCACGTTTCGTGACCGACGTTCGCTCGCTCCGACTTGTTTACGCACAAGGGAGGGACAGGGCGTGCGGGCGGAGTAGTACGGGGGTTCCGCTAGGAAAAGTATAATCAATTAGGGTTCCTTGGCAAAAAAAAATTGGGAAACCCTGGTCTATACAAATAAAGAAATGTTGAGTTTGTTCACCTTCAGCTCCAGGAACTCGGGCGTGTGGCGGCTGGGCGCGCGGTGGCGGGCCAGCATGTCGCGGAACAGCGCCTGCATGGCCAGCTCCATGGTCAGCGCGCAGTTCAGCTTGTTGATCTCGCGCGCCTTGCTCAGCGTCGCCTTGATGATGTCGCCGTAGTCGTTGTAGCACTGCACGACCATTTCAATAAATAAATAATAATAAATTAACATCCTTAGACATTTTACACTGCGCTTCTAGTCCCAAACTAAGCAAAGCTTGTACTATGGGTACTAGACAACGGATATAAACATACTTAAATACTTTTTTTTTTTGTAAATACATACTTATTATACATAGAAAACACTCAGTCCAATACAAACAAATATGTTCATGCACACTAATGTGTGTACTGTGCGGGAATCGAACCCGCAATCGCAATCGTAAAAACAATGAAAATACGAAGTGATCTGATTTTTAGAAATTAGTCGGGTAATGTACAATAATGTACATCTCGTCCCCGTGTATACTAGTTTTCGGATCAAATGCCAACTTTATAAAATGTTCATTGGAAAATTCGCGTCTGTATTCCCAGCTTCATGTTTCCCGTTGCCCAATTCATAATACCATCCATACCCATTTGAAAGCAGACTTCTCGTGTTTAGAATATTTGAGTTAGTTAGTTTAGTTAAAAACATTTAGAAATATTTCTAGATACATTACTAGATTAAAATAATCATGAACCAAGATTTAGTGTAGGTCACTAAATTGAAAAGCTCTAATTGGGTATATTGTTTTTTTTTTTGCTATAACATTAAAGTTCCTTTTCTTATTATTGACATCTGGTACGTTCTTTAAAACTGATCTGGGCGAATCTACCAATGAACATAAAAAAGTTGGCATGTGGTCCACAGAGTAGTGAACCCGAAAATTTAAATAATTCTATTATGTAATTAATTTTGACGCATTTCTGATTTTATACTGTACATAATAATAGAACGAAGTTTACATATCTTGATGTTTACAGGAAAATAAACAAATATTGTGTATACTTATTTACCAAATTAGGAAAAGAAAGTCGGCATGGACAAGACGAGAAATGCTTCCCATTCCCAGTTTTTATAAATAGTATAAAGATAGATAAGATAAAACTCATTTTATTTTTACTTTAAAGCATTGATCGTCATCGCTGCATGCCGGCTGATCGCTTTGGTTTGGCTGAACCTTTAAAAAGCACTTATCCAATAAAAAGCACTTTTTTAATAATAGACAATTTGACACCATTCCCCAATAATTCGAAATCACAACTTTTCTAAAAAGACACTTCATTCTGGTCTTAAAAACTTAATTAATTTTAAATTACCTGTAAATTTCGATTTTTGGTCGCATTGTAATTGAAAAAAGTAGTTTGAGTTGACAAAATAGTTACGTCACTTGCTTTTAGTGCCATACAAAATTTATGGGAAACTTTCGTTTTGACAGTTTTAAAAAGTACGTCAATTGATTGGTGGTGTCAACATGTCTATTGAAATAAAATCGTCTAACCTTGATGTAATGCTTGAAGACGTCAGCGGCGCGGCGGATGGGCGCCACGTTGTACACGATGAGCTTGCAGTAGGCGGCCAGGAAGTTGCGCCGCTTGTGCAGCTCCTCGATGCGTCTCTCGTCTTGGCCGTCTGCACAGAGCGCGCGCTGTAGCCGGCTGCCCGCGTGGGGCCGCGGGTCTAACCTCGGGTGACATGACTCATAGTTTTTTCTTTAGCATTTTAAGTTTATACTTTTCATTTTAACTTAAAAGGTATGATGAACACTTTCAGCTTAAAATCATCATAAAGCTTCAATCAAACCACCGCGTGCAGTTCGCGACCGCGATGGCGATGACGACCACTGTGCATTCAATAGTGGTTTTACATTGCCGCGAGCGCGATGGCGATAACTACGCGTGCAAAAGTTGTCACTATCCCACCCGTGACACTGACAATACCGGATCGCTGGTTCCCATTTTTGCCACGTTGGAAACTATATAGTTGAACGATGGTGGCGCCCCCTGTCAATGTGTTTGGTGGGACAGTTCAGTGTGACACTGACAGCGGGGCGCCACCGTCAATACCGGATCGCTGGTTCCGATTCCGGTGGTACAGTTCAGTTTGTGGTTCAGTGTAGTTCATCATATAAATCACCGCGACAGGACGCGTTGATGTTAACTCATCGCTATAAATTCATACACGACGTCTGGTCGCCATCGCTACCGTGCACGCCGGCTGAGCGCGTTGATTTGGCTGAAGCTTTAAACAATAATCTGCAGTTACCTTTCCAAAATAGTCACTCGAGGTTAACCCAATAGACCAAAGGAAGAATAAGGCCCCCACACACGGGTCACCTGCCGTAACCCCAAAACGACGCCACCGGCATATTTTGGCCCCTAACCCACGGCAACTTTTTGTAGTGATGCTGTCGCGCGTTTCGTAAACGAGCGACAGCATCGCTACTATGACCACTTTTACATTAGGGCGTCAGAAGTGCGACAGTAGCGTCTGTCGCGCTGCCAAAGTCGCCTAAATGTGAAAGCGCTCTAACGCGCATTAGTTGCATTAATTTGCAAAACGGTACAGAAGTGATGCCAACGCGCTACAGCATCGCGACTGTATCAATGCAAACGCGCGACCGGAACGAACGGAGGGTGGGTTGCGCGGCAACTAGCGATCGCAGGTAATTTTTTGCCGTTACTGAATGGCATCTGCATCGTGACAGAAAGCGCAACAGTATCGCGTTTGCATCACGACGTATCGTGTTTATGTGGGCGCGGGTACTCAGCTAGCGACATTTCGTCTGTATCCCGACAGAATCGCTACTGCATCGCTACAAAAAGTCGCCGTGGCCTTTCGTGTGGCGGCCACCGGTGACCACCGATTTGTGGTTGTGGCCGGTGACCCGTGATCGGCGACTCTAACAGGTTCAATCACTCGACTAAGCAGCGAACGGTCCGGCCGCTGAGTTCACTATGTAGCATGCACACTATAAAACTCTACGTAAGAAATAATAAGCTCGATTAGAATGCTCGTTCCCGTTTACAATTAGTGGCAGGAAGGATAAAAATAACATTAATATTTAGTGAAGCCGTATCTTCGTCGCCGTACCAGGTCACCTTTACCAGTGTTACAAAAGAAAATTATAAGAATACAAAATGCAACTGAAATAAACAAATACGATGCACAAAACATGCTCAAAATCACAAAACCTCGAGCGTGTTAGAATCAAACTCGGCCCGACACCGCCAGCAGCGTCCAGGCAGGTTTCCCGCTATCTCTCAGAAATTGAAGACCTACTACAGGTTTCATTGTTCTGGAACTTTTTCCTCATCATATTTAACCTCACCAATAAGAAACTCTAATAAAATCCAAAATAAGATAAAGAGAATTGGAGATATCATTTCTTGACTTGCATAAAATGATTTGGAGGCGCCTATTCCAAATATCGCAATTTATCGGTATACAATATCTCGTACCAACCGAGTCGTGGCTTTAGCGACACCTGCCCGGGCGACGCGGGGACGACTCGCTGACGGTATCGGACGTGTCGTGAAGCGGGCGCGACAATTTTCCCTTAGTAATGTTAGGTGAGGTAGCGAACGGGCGCGAGCGAGTGCGTCGAGACAAAAATATGCATTATTGGCGCGCGGCGGCCTCCGACCGCCCCCGGCCCGGCGCGCGGCCCCAGCTCAAACATCAGACGCGACTCGCGAGGGCTTCTGCCACCAAATGCTATCGGAGCGTTTCCATTGCATGTTTGTGTTTTGGTCGCAGCAGCCCGGTTAAAGGCTCCCTGTTTACTGGAGTTGCGTGAGATGAAACCGTTTCACCCTCTCAATTGACTAATAACAACACGAAAACCAAATTCACTATCTTATCGTGTCTCGCCCAGCTCCGGTGAACAGGTAAGGTTTAGGCTAGCGTTACATTTTGAAGAGCGCTTGAATTCTGATGTTTCAACTGAAAAACTTAAATTTATTGGGACGCAATGACTGACTGACCCTTCGTATCCGCGGGTGACGTTGCATGTGCGAAAATACGTGGAAGGAGTGAAAAACGGTCGCATTTACATAACATCAGTATCGTCGGTCAGTCATAGGCGCGCGCGAGCGACCCGGCGGCCGGCGCGGGCGGTCGCCATTACTAAGGTAAAATGCGCCGTCCGAGTGTCAACTAGTGCGAGCGATGCGGACAAGGCTTACCGTCACGACGCGCCGCGCGCCCCGCGGGACATGCAACCAAACACACCACGCGTTAACGCTCGGCCTCCACAACCGCACCGCGAGCGGGGCGCCCGGAAAATGTACCCGCTTTTCGACGGCCGAAACGCGAATACATTTTCGCAGTCGGCAGTGGGAGTTGCGGTACGTTTGTAGCGGACGAGCACTGGCACTGCAGCCGCGCGACCCTGCCCGCGACCACGCCCGCTACGGGACGATTCGTCCACTTATCGCCGATCTATTGATTCCAATGGAATGCACTTATTTTGGAAGTCCCCTCAATGTGCCTTCCGTTCCTTAAATCATTTAACTAATGGCTAAATGGTCCCGGACGAATGGTCCCGCGGCGCGGGCGGGCGGCCGCCGGCGCTGTGATACGTCACGTCTCCCGCTAGCTCCGTGTGTTCGGGAATAATGCATATTTTTTTCTCTTATTCTTTACACATCTAGACAGAGAGCACATCAAGACTGTGCCATAAAGGGCAATTATCTGCTGCACATTCCAACAACGGTAAATTCATCTAACCTAACGAGAATGCTAAAAAGCTACACGTTTGACAACTGGTAACGATATTTTGCAAAATTGCAGCATGAAATTGTGCTTCCTATTCTTACTTAACGAAAAGAATGAAACCCCACACTATGTGCACCAGCCCACAATGAATAAAGAGAAACATTACACCCAATTTGGAAGAAGTGCACACTTTTCCCCACCTTATACCAATAAATTGATCCACTTAAAATTACATTACATTATACATCATGGGAAAATGCCTTACTGATCCAAACGGGATAATTTTGATACTTTATTACCATATTTTTTTATCATGGGACCAACATTGAATCAAAGAGGATTTCTTGTTCATGGTATTTGAGTACCAAATTCATTCAATTTCGGATCAGACAGGTTTTTTAAAAATTCATTAAAAAATCCTTCTGTAAAATCTTTTACCACAGTTGGGTATCGCAACTGTCACGAATAAAATAACACAGTTTATTAAAAATACCTATCGATAGGGTCCACTGCTGAAAGTTTGAAATTTAACAAAACAGGAGTTAACATTCTCATGCCTTTTCATTCTCGTACTAGAGATACTTGAGTACAAGATTCTAACGAGACATAAAGCACAATCACACCTCGAGTCGAGCCAACTTCCGACAAGACAAAGCTTAACCCTCCTTGCGCGTATCGACGGTCGTACAGTTCACTAATTTAGCGAGTCGTGTTAGCTTAACTCACGGTGAGAGCTATGCTTAAATTATTTTTTATTTATTTTTCGCTACAGGGATACAAATATGTTTGGAAAAAATAAAAATAACTAAAACATTGAGAAACATAAACTATAGGAGGAGGCCATTTTTAAAGCTGACAAAACTACCAGATCTTGGGCTGCGTCCACCCGATACGTTGTAGCTTCGGTTATGTGGAAGTTTAACTTAGGTGCTACAATGCATCGTGAGGATAAATAGGTATGCTTTATGCGGGGACGCAATTGGAATGTTGACAACACAACATGGATAAGTGTTCAGTTCATACGTGACATCAAACGCGACATTAAATTTTATTGTACTATACATGACTACTTACAGTTTGGCGTTTTAGTTGTGTTGTAATTAATTAAGTCGCGTTTGATTTTAGTTAATAAAAATATTCGTATTCGTATAATACGTAATTCGTATTCGTATAATTCGATGCCTACATTTTCAGTACAACATTTGTTGAAATTAGTTATTTCAATTATTTTATTTATCAAAAAGATTAGGAAGTTACGAAGTTTTCAATGACGTCTTTATTTTTATCTATTCCCTTCTTCTTAACAATTCAAGAACAAACTCTAGCCCCCTTATTAATAAAAAGCTACACCCTAGTTGAACACTGTTTTAAAGTGACATTTCTATACTAAACGTCACTTTGAAACGGGGTTCAAAGGTGTAATTTTTATTAATAAGGGGGCAGTTTTTTGTAAATAAAAAAGTCCCTATATCCAAGTTGGTTTAAATCACAAATTACATAGAATTTAGCTAAGGGGTCGCAACAAGGCACACGAATTACCGTAGTTGTGGTGCACGAAGACGACCTCCTGGATGAAGGCATTTAGCAGGTCGGCCAGCGCGGAGTCACAGTCCAGCACGAGCCGGCGCGCCGCCTCGCCCGCCACGTGCGCGCCCAGCTGCTCCGCGAACAGGATCAGCAGGTCGCACAGGCTCGTGTACGCCTCCTTAATAGAGAGGGGACCGTCAGAAAACGTACTTGATACTAAGATAAGAAATAAACTCCGACAAACGTTACTTCGACATTACGTTACTCCGACACTACTACACTACTCAGACAAAGACGAATATCCTGTCTGAGTAGTGTAGTGTCGAAGTCATGTCTATATTTAGTAATGTCGAAGTAACGTTTGAGCCTAAGATAAGATGTGCGTTCCCTTCGAGAGGCCACTGTGGAAAACGAAGGTTTCGTATACATAAAGATTTAGCAGAACCTCTAAAACAAATGTAGCCAGAATGATAAATTTGTAGGTGTTGTAAGTTGGACGCTACAACCCGCCGAATGTGGTCCCTCAGATGAACTATGTCAAATACCAAATTACTGAATCTGACCAAATAAGATGATTTTCATGAATGGTAATATTTAGGAGGTAAATCGTAGGGCTACATACGAAAATAAGAGCTCTGGATAGTAACTGCAAATAAAGAAAATCCAATCAGACGATGGGCCCTCAGTTCACCAGTGCACAAAATTTACTTTAATGCTACAAATTGGAACTTGAGACTAAGTTTCTTTGGTAAGGTTTCACGTAGCCCGCCAGGCGCCCGCCGCGTGTGTCACAGTACCTCTCGCAGCTCGGGCGTGGCGCCGCGCGCGACGGTGGCCTGGCAGTGCGCCACGTAGCCCGCCAGGCGCTCGCGCAGCGCGTCGGCGCCGCCCGCCGCCGGCCCGCGCGCCGCCAGCCGCTCCTCCAGCTCGTGCAGCGACCACAGCAGCGAGTAGAAGCACGACCGCACCACGTACACCAGCGCCTGCGAGGAAATAAAACTTTTGTTAAGCACAAAAACAATTTAAGCGCGATTGCTTCGATTTGCATCTACTCCAACTTGTAATGATGAAGCACAAAATTAAAATAATTTAAATATATTAACATAAAAATAAATATCTTTTTTGTTTAATTTTGAAAATCATCACCAAAAGCTACCTGTTGTAAACCAATAGTTCTTATTCCTTTCTTACTGAACTAAAAAGCCCGGTCTGTGAGCACATAGAATTTTGTCCAATAACCCCAAGTTATCGCTCGCGCGTAATTATGTTGCTGTCGCGCTCACACACTCACTGCGGGCGCCCGTCACACAGTCGCGACGTGCGTAAGTACGCGCTCGCAGACCAGACTATACCGAGAGTCGTGACGAGCTAATTCTTACAATGAACCTTAGGTGATACTATATCTGTGCGTGCTGCTCTTTATCGATCGGTCCGCACAGCCATTTAAAATTCAAGACACCGTACCTACTGCGTGTTACAAATTAATTTTGACACCATCGAACCAATAGCGCCCTCTCGCGCATCATCATCATCATTTCAGCCATAGGACGTCCACTGCTAAACATAGGCCTCCCCTAATGCTTTCCACGTTGATCGATTGGTAGCGGCCTGCATCCAGCGCTTCCCTGTTACCTTTACCTTGGACGCCTGCGTTTTCCGGTACGCGGCCTCCATTCCAGAACCCTGCTGCCCCATCGGCCGTCAGTTCTGCGTACTATATACCCTGCCCATTGCCACTTCAGCTTGCTAATCCGTCGGGCTACGACAGCGAGTCTCGCTCGCACCAGTGAACAATGAAGGCACGCACCTGCGGCGGCGCCTGGTCCAGCAGCTCGGGCGTGTGGCACTTGGGCAGGTCTTCGGCCAGCGAGTCCCAGATGTTGGTGTCGTTGAGGTTGTGGCACATGTACATGATGGACACCTTGCGCAGCGAGTTCACCACGTTGAACACCTCGTCCGCGTCCGGCGTCTCGCCCTGCAGATAGATGACACGTTAATACATTTCACTTGCATGATGATACACAAAATGGAAGATATTAGCTATATTATACACAATAAATAAACACAAGTAAAGATAGACTAAAACAATAGAATGTTTGGTCATAGCAACTGCTCGCTGAACAAGTGTTCGAAGCGTAAGCAGTCACAATAAGTAACTCATGTCCGTATCAATCTTACGGTCATACTGGCCAAATTGCAGCTACAATGCAATTCACCACACCACACTATTCTCGACTTAGGGAGTCGAGTCGAATAAATAAATACCAGTGATAGCAACATGGCAGGTGATGTCTACAGTACCAGTGACAGCAACATGCTAGATGTCTACAGTACCAGTGTCAGCAACATGGCAGGAGATGTCTACAGTACCAGTGACAGCAACAGGCCAGGTGATGTCTACAGTACCAGTAACAGCAACATAGCAGGAGATGTCTACAGTACCAGTGACAGCAACATGGCAGGAGATGTCTACAGTACCAGTGACAGCAACATGGCAGGTGCTGTCTACAATACCAGTGCCAGCAACATGGCAGGTGCTGTCTACAGTACCAGTGTCAGCAACATGGCAGGTGCTGTCTACAGTACCAGTGTCAGCAACATGGCAGGTGCTGTCTACAANTTGACTAATTGCTCTAAAGTCAAAGTAGTGCGTTTTGGAGTACTTTATATGAATACACATTTACGCCCGTTGACGGTTTCTGGTTTGTTCCGTATTCTGAGTTCTAAACTATACAAGATATCGAAAAACTGATTACTGATTCTGAAAGTGCTTCATAAGCTCTTTCAAGCGGTACCAATAATAGGTTACAGAATAAACTGGATCTATCCGAAATATCAATGTTTCCAGCTTTCATACATTTAGTAAAACCACATAATATTAAAAACTATACAAGATATTAAAAAACTGGTTACTGATCCTGAAAGTGCTTCACGAGCTCTATCTAACAGTACCAATAATAGGTTACAAAATAAACTGGATCCATTCTAATATTCAATGTTTCCAGCTTCCATACATTTAGTACAGCACTTATGTCTTGTTAATATTATAGCAAGTAAAGCCTAAAACCAAGGTTTTCCAAGAATAATTTTAAATAAGAATGCAATCTACGAGTACATTTTAAGTGTTTATTATTTAATAAAAAAAATTAATACTTCTATTATTGTTTGGCTGGCATACATTTAGTATGGAGGCTGAAAACATTAAATTTTCGGATAGATCCAGTTAATTCTGTAACCTAATATTGATACCGTTGGATAGAGCTTGTGAAGTACTTTCAGGATTAGTAATCAGTTTTTCGATATCTTGTATAGTTTAGAAATAATCGAATGAGATCACTTATCGTTTCCACCCTGTATAGTAAAAACTCCTGGCAGCTGTGGGCTCCTGGTAAAAAGTGCGTTATTGATGTTTTGATAAAGTTGCAATTCGGATAACACTGGCAGTCGACTGCTCCGCATTTTAGTCTTCTACTTTTAACTCCTGAGACTGCCGCCTGTAGTCCTACCTATAGTCTTGTATTTTATTCAAAAGTGTGATGACTTAATGACCATAGACAAAATTTTCCACCTCTTCCGAATTGAGTTCTGGAAAACTCTGAAGGAGCTATGTTGACTTGTTATATTGGTAAAAGGTGATCCAATGTTTTAAAAAAATCGCCAGAGAGTTCATTTTTAACCTTATTACTTTTAGTTAAAGGTATAATCATGACCTGATAATTTGTTGTTTGATTACCCGCGGTCTCAGGAAATTAATATCCCACGATATTTCTTAGACAGAGTGGTGTTCTGAAATAAAAATAAATTGAAAATTGCGGATAAAGTTAAAACGTATGCATCCATATTATCTAAAATATTCTAAAAGTTTCTTCCAATTACTTAAATAAATCAATCGTACTATTGCTATTTTTATAAATACTTTAATTAAATTATATTTTAGTGAAAATCATTGTTCGGAATCAAGGTGATTTTGAAATATTAATCGTATTTACATTTTAGAAACTCAAATGAATTTCATATCAATATTCCCTTATCAGAATTATTATAAATGTACCTATACATTATTTCACACGAAGATTTTATTTCAAATGGGGCCATTAAAATATATTTTTTCTATTAACACCAATGTGCAGTACAAAATTAAAAAATCTGATAATATTACATTCCTGTATAAGCAAAAATGATCTCTATAATAAATGTACTTAGAAAATTCTAGTTTATTTTCCTGATGGCAGTATTTAGTGCAGCTATTTACTCTTAAAGCATTTACATTAGACACATATTTATTTATTTCTACTCATAAAGTCTCAATGTCTATCTTAAAGTTAGTTGTGGTGGACCTGAGTCAAAATTGTTAGATAAAAATCATAATAAAGTTATAAAATTAGTAAATACTTATATTGAAATATAAAACGAATTATTAAAAAATAAAAGCGGACGGTGAACGATATACTTAATATGTTAAACGATAAGTTGAAAGTTTTATCGTAGCGAGTGTCTACATCTAGCGGTCTATAGGCATAGCGGTTGTTAAAATAGATGTTTTGGTATAAAAATTAATATCTTGTTGTTGATATACATTGAAATTATGACACAGACTGTGGCTGTAGTCGACTGTTTAAAATCTGTTGTTGTAAAGCAATTTTTATATAATTCTTTGCTACTACGATATTTGTTATTTTACTTTTTGCATTAAACATATCAGATTAGAAAATTAGTAAATCAAATTAAATACTTGTTTAGGCAACCTACAATATGTTTGAGGCCAAAATTCTTAGGTTTAGATGTAATCTTAAGGATGTTACAATATGTTTAATGCAAAAGTAACCAAACTTTAATAACACTTGTTCAGCCACTTAATCACATAATAGCACGCTGAATTTTACTTTTCAATAAAAATTTTACTTAAACGCTTTAAAAATATATGAAATGTTAAAAGACAAAAATAAAACACAAATTTTTATCCTTGAAACTGTTTAAAATGTAGTATTTCTATTAAGTATCGATTATTGTATAACTGTTATCGATGTAAATATGTTGAAATGTTTATTATAATGTAATAGAATGTTATATTCGCGATTATCAAGTTATCCTATAAGTGAGAGTGGCAATTGCATGTTCGAACAAGTTAGTCTGAAATCATTTTGAGTATACGCTTGTTAATCAGTGCGTTAACCGTCAGTGCTGTATCGTATGGTACATAAATTAAAAAGTCATAAGTTACAAGTAAAGACTATGTTCTGCAAAATATCAGAGGCTGAGTTCTGCATTTCCATGCAACAACAACATTCAATTGCTAGTCTAAAAGCCGAATATTTAATGCATACTTTAAAAATACTAGATCTACTCAAGAGGTTTTAACAAATACCGTTCAATTAAATTATCGTGAAGGATATTTGTTTCTAGCCTGGTTTATGTCTAGACTAGTATTGATAGTGTGACTATAGATTAAAATGTTCGGCTGCACGCATTTATTCTAGGTTTGTGTGCAGAAATCTTGTGCAATATACAATTTATAATATCGTCTACATGGATGATAGCTTCATTTCATGTTGTTCATTATGAGAACATGTTATTGTCCTATCTTATATTAATCACAATCAATACATAACTAATAGCCTATATTCGTACCGAATATCTGCACACAACAGTTGTTTAGCTCATTTAGAATACTGTTGTTACAAGAACTCATAAGACTATTTAACTATTTTTCGTGCATTTACTGTAATCCTTTTTACTATTTAGTATTTAGAGAAGGTGATATTTTAAAACTATTTTCTTGATTAGGATACCTTTTCATACTATGTACTGTACATAATATTGACGTTGATGTTTGAATATATTGAGTGTAAGATAATTTTAAAACAATGTATTTAATGAATTATTGAATTTATGAAAATTTCTATAGAGACCGAAATGTAAAATTTAACTTGCAATAACTTGCATTAATAATTTTAAATGCAGTCATTAAAGTTTTGGTATAGTAGTAAATGTTTTAAAGTATAGTGTATGAAAAGTGGCGTCTTATTTATTGTTTGATCGGTCGATCTTCAAAACAATCATGATGACAATAAGTAAATAATGTATATTTTTCTGTATGTTTGCGAAACGGTAAAGATATTTGCGTACAATGTTTTAGTGTTTCGTGTATTCTGACTTCGTGCATTTTCTAATTAGCATTGACTTAAATAATTTTATTTCACATCAATTCAATGTGTCTATTCGCTAAGTATTTACTCGATCCATGGCCAGAGATAATGCATTTAAATAACACGTTCCTTGAATAGCGTAACGTTTTCTTATTCATTGGGTATTTTGGCTATTTTAAATCTAAGCATAATACAGCATTTTAACCGCATCATACCTAGTGTTAGGGAATGTAATTTCTAATACATCACAGTTCGATAGGCAGTTTTGATGTGATGTATCGAGATGATCAAGCTTAAGAAAGGTGATATGATTGTGATATTATAGTCGTTGAGGATGTTGCTGGGAAGTTAAAATAGATTCTAAATGTGGATCGACAGTTTTTGGAGCGCTACAGATCCTAGTTCTGCTCCAAAACACGCAGCTGGCGGTGTTGAATGTTCTCATACATTTCTCCATTTAAGTGTCCCAAAAATATCATACATACAAGACAGCATCGCGTTTTAATGTTTTTCTTAGTTCTCAAATTGAGTGCCTATCGGGCTCGGTCACATAAGCTCGTCAAGTCACCACGTGACGTACTTCATTTGTTTCCATTTGGAAAAAAAGTTCGCGGCGAATTCGCGACCGAGCGAATATACTAGCCACCGCCGCGCTCGCAACCTCCGTGCCTTCTACAGTTACTTACTACTCGTTTCCAGCTTAAGACGCTTCTCGTTCCATTCTACAAAACACTGTATTTATATCACCATCAAATAAACATAAGTTTAGTGAGATGTCAGTACTTAAATTGTAGCCCATAATTTAAGTTTCGTTTGTGGCAATATGTAATGATTGTTAAGCTTTAAACTGTATTTATAATTTTTTAGGTATTTAAAACTTTCGGATTCCCTCCACACTTTAAGTTATATTATTTGTGGCAACGACAATACAATTATGTATTGCTCAATATTATGCTCATTTTATTCCTCGTATTAGTGTTTCGTTGATATTATCAATTTATGTGTATATGATTTGGTTCATCGCTTGATTTCCTTTTGGATGAGTTAGATATAATTTGTCAACTTGATCTGTGACGATTTGCAGGCTATGCCTGTTGTATTTAGAATAGATGAATGAAATAAACATTTACTTAGTATCGAAATATGCTTTTCATTTCTTGCTATCCTCTACTTAGTTATTATTTTTTCTGAAGGTAGACTAAAAATGACCAGTATAGAACAAAAGATAAATCTGCAAAGGCGATACGTTATTAAAACAGGGTAGTTAAACAAAAAACATTTTATTGGAGTTAGAAAGGTAACAATAACGTTAGCCACTTTGTTCGTACAATCACAGTTTAGTTGTGGTTTAGTCGACATGTCAATTCTGTCGATTTTACGGTTATTTTAGTTTCTATCTGGTTATATGATATTGACTGACAAACAACTAAAATGTGATTGTACTACACAGAGAACTAAAATTAATATACATTTGATTGGCAAGTGTGTTTTTATGGGTAGGATTATATTTTTTTTATTTACTACAAGTGATCGACTAGAATTCTCCAAATATTGTGTGGTTCGATTGAGTCAAACAGGTAGCTAAATAAGAAATATGCAGATGGCTAAGGTGAGTATAGTTAAAAATTGTTAAATACCTACAGAAGTGCAATTCTGTCGTTTATAAATACACAAATTGCTAGGTTGGTTAGTTAACATCAAAAAGAGAAATGATAATTTGTATACTGATAGATAATACCTGCCAGTTGTAGAAATTATTATTATTTTTAAATTAAATGTTAATATTATTAGAGAAAGTTTAAGTCTTATTCAATTGCATTTTAGTATTAAAAATTCCTACAGTCTACTTTTAAGCTTATGTTCTTTACACTGTGTCCTCTACTGAATTATGAATTTAACACTCATACATTACTGAATAAATTAACCGACAAAGTCGTGAACTTATTAAATAATATATTTTAGATACCTTGTGGGGTTTATAACTATTCCATACTTCTAAAAATACAAACAAGCAGTCTTGTAAATGCAACCTCAGGCCAAGGGCATATTTTCAAAGCATTAGAATTCAAAATCGCTAGTAAATTGTATACGAATTCGTATTGGATTCAAGTGGGAACAAGATCGCATAAGTTTTTTGTTGTTTTCTAAGCGATTTGAATTCTAATGGTTCAAAAATACGTCTCCAGAACTTCCATAGCAGTTGTGGGTAGCGGATAAAATAACAGTGAGATCCCATTGGGCTATTAAATTACTACAAGAAATTATCTAGTGTAGTAGACTACCCATCTCTTTCACTCAATACTGTATTGCAAAGCACGAGAGACAAGGATAGTGCAGGCCATAGTATTTTTGTAATGGTTCTAGAAATATTGTTACATTCAATACAATCGATAGATGGCGTTGTTCCGTAAAGAATTTTGTAATATTTTTCAAAAGCAATTAATCTCTAAATCGAATTTGTGCTATTATAAGCGTCAATGACGGTGTAATAGATCAATTTTCAATCAATTATGCACCATTTTTCACCTGTGTGTAAGGCCACAACCTTATAGGGAACAGTACTACTGTACTACTAGCTACCCACCCTTATTATTCAAGGCACAACTTCCAACAATCCATAACAACCTCGTAACATTCTCACATTATTGATATAATGGTTATCTACTATGTATTTAGACTACTAGAGACATACTGCATTTTAAATTCAACTTTCAATACTTTGGATGAGTCTGAAAGACCACGCTATAGGGCTACAACCCAATCGAGCTAAATGCGAATCTCGCTGGAATGCGACGTCACGGCAGCGTCGATGTGACGTCACGGCAGCGTCGATGTGACGTCACGGCAGCGTCGATGTGACGTCACGGCAGCCAGGTGCGCTATTATCTCACCGAGTTGTAGAGTACTAATGTAAATATTAAATCTTTAAAATGCTGTCTGCCTCACATAAATTAAGTATACAACTTGAAATAGAAATAGCACAAAAGCTGTTATTAAAACAGCCTCAATGATAAAACGTTTATTTTTATGGACGAAATATTATTTTTTGATATCGTGTTTGTAATTTATTCATATCTCACGACACGTAGGGCTTCCGTGGCTATCAATGGCGTAGTATTGCGTGCACCATTTAATTATTAGATTCGACAGGAGATAGTAATACTACATTTGTTCAAAACTATACTACACTAAAAATAGTGTTATTGATTTTGAATAAACTAATTTTAGTTGTGTTTTCAATAACAAGTTGTATACTAGGCTTTATATTACATACAAACACCGATTTCTCTTACATGAGGTTAGGCACAGCAAAGTACCCAAAAAGTTCTCATCATAAAAACAATACTTTTTTTAGTTTATTGTCTTATTAATAAAACGAGTGAAAAACCTAAAATGTTAGTTACAGCGATCATTGTACATAAAACAAAGCCTAAAAAATTTTATACTGGTCTCTATATCTAGTTCATACATTTTACTTATCTAAAACTAAAGATTTAAACAGATTAATAATAAAAAAACTAAAAGAATAAATTAACAGTATTTTTTAGCTTTTAGTTGTTATTCGAAACACTATGAAGTTTAATTAACAATAGTATACAAAAATAATATAAATAATTATTTGTTCGTAATGAAATAACATAATTATTGTACTTCACATGGCATTAATAAAAAATAAAACTTTCCATTGGTAATATGGCAACTTTCATGTCACTCATTAAATAAATAGTAATTAATAGAAAACTTTAAAATGGTGTCATTTAAAAACACATTTCTTTCATCAAGAATACATAGAAAGAAAAGAAACCATAATTTGTTGAAGATGCCTTATTTTAGCTAGTGATTAAAAACAGCTTTGTGCTACCAAATATTGCACAATTGGTTTACAACTATATTTCAAATTTCATTAGGCATTTTCCCCTAAGAACTTATAGCTCCATCTAGTAATTGAATAATATTGCTCAACATTCACAACATATCCCTGACATTCTCACTCGAGGCTTTCTCCCAGATTTGGCCGGACATATACAGCCTGTATATCTTATTGCTGACCAGACTTTGGCCAAACTTCAACATGGCACCTTCAAATTTGTGCTGGAAAACTTGCATTTGCGTTTCATTATAACCCACACCTCCAGGATGGAATAATTTAGGATCCCTACACTCAGTATACTTATGTACACCCAGAATATCTATGGGAACAACTTTGCTAGTTGAATTAAGGTTGAAAATATCACTAAACGATGTCATTGAATCCAAATTTCTCACATAGACAGATTTCAAAGGCTGTGGCAAAGCATAATAGTGAGTTTTCTTCATGATATCTGGGTATCCAATCTCAGCATTATCATCATCAATTTGATTGAGGCAGAACAGAAGAGGTTTGACCTCAATTGATCTCAATTTCCTTGTAGGATCGAAGTCATCCAGTATGGCCTTGATATTGTTATGCACTCGGGGCACTAAGAATTCATCCCAAGAGAGAACCATTGCATGGCTGGCTTTTTCAGACTCCTCTTTGTCATATTTGAAGTGTCTGAACAGGCAATCAAGTTCGATAGCACTTCTGACAATGTCATAGGACTTTGAAAATATGAAAGGATAGTTTAGTGGGAAAAACTGTATGCTCCATTGGGTAATATCTGCTGGAAGCAAATTGAGCCTTCTAATAATATCTTCTGAGATCATACTGTCGTAAATGGTAAAAGCATTGACTCCCATCATGTGGTGATACACAAGGAATTCAATGAAAGCATCTCTAGAGACCAAAGGCACTTGGTTTGGTATAACACAAATAGCAGGCTCAATATTGTTTACAAATCTGATGCTACTTCTTTCACGAGCCTTCCTTTTGGTGTTCACTTGTATAACTCTATTTATTGGGGCATGTATTGGGTTGATGTTGTAGTCATTCATGTAGAAACTAACACCTTTAGGTTTACCTAGATTCTTATTCAGAGAGCATTGAAAGATGTAAAGTCGAAAATCGTTTGAAGGCTCAGAGATAATTTTGTAAATGAATCTTCCCGATCTGGGCTTAGCTGAGTTCTCAAGCCAAATGTTGCATCGAAAGTTAGGTCGTACATGCGCTTTACCAATCACAATGGTATCAATGTTGTGAGCATGTTCTTGAGACAGTTTTTCATATTTTTGATACGATCTTAAGAATGAGGAGTATGAGTAGAAATTCTCGTCGATTTCTTGAAAAAGCGGGGGAGTTTCACGAACCTCCATGGACGAATTCCGAAGTATCTCCGAGAGCATGGTGGCGTTAAAGCCAGGCCCGCAGAATTCTATTTCCGAAAGACCGGGCTTACCGAAGAAATTGAGCACTTCAAGTACATATCGCAGTCTGTAATACTCGTGGCGATATATGAGCAATGTTACGATGCTAATAAAGCAAACGATAACAAGAATCAGCTGGTAATACTTCCGCATTATTCCTCCTGTGTTTCTGGGGTTCTTCATGTAGTTGCCGGCATCGATTCTACAAAAAACAAATGCTTATTGAGCTGTTTAGTTACTATTTGAACAGAGATTATTAATCGTCAATGAAATACTTACCAAGGGACTAAATAAAACTATCAATTAACTAAAATCACTATTGTTTTACAACTTTCCTCAAATTTTTGTCGCAAAATAAAATTTTTATGACACAAGACAACACGCAAATCGAATTGTCAAAATCGTCAAAAAATTTTTTTTATTTGTATTTTTTTTTAAATATTTACGGCCTTGGGCTCACGGCAAATGATGCCAGCAAATTCGATTAAGTGGTATCTGAATCTACCTTTACATTTGATTTGTAAACATTGGCAATCACTAGTGCAGTAGTACCAACGTAATAAAAACAAAACTAAAAGCAAGTCATCGCAAAAGTCATCGGCATTTTCAAGAGAAAGATTTTATTTTGTGCCGTTGCCATAATAAAAGAAGAAGAAGAAGAAGAAGAAATTAGTCAAAAAGGAATTAGCTGCGGTGTTTATTACCTAGTTAATATGTCAGCAAATAAAGATGAAACATTGCGGCAGTTTTGTGATGTGACTGGCGCCGATGAAACTCGAAGTAGATTCTTTTTAGAGTCGTCGAATTGGCAACTGGAAGTAAGTAATTGAAGTTCATGTGTTTTTTACTTTTCTGATAAATCTTTTGTTCTAAAATCCCATTTATACTTCGCAATACGTGTTTAGAATCAAAATAATGTCGTGCTTAGGTCTGTAAACCGTAATTCTTTTGTCAACTTAAAAGTTAAAACGTACCACCTTCATTTATCAAAAATGAATCATTTCCAAAATTTCCTTTTCAAATTCCACTAATTACTATTTGAAACCACTTCAGTTTTACATACTTTGCAAGAACAGTGATATTTTGTCTTCCAGATAGCATTATCAAGCTTCTATGAACATGGTGGTAATGTAGACGAAGTTCCTACAAATCCTGTAGCCAGGGCTTCGCCCCCGTCGCTCTCCGACAGTGACATGGAGTCTCCGCCGGAGTCGCCGGCACGCCCTCAGAAGAAAGATAAAAAGAAGCCTAGCTCTAAATTTGCTACGTTAGATTCAATACAACAGGACAGTTCAAGCCAGGATGATGAGGGTAAGTTATTTAATATTTCTCATTTAATAATTATTGATATGCGTTTAAAACATAATTAACTGTAACTCACTTGACATTATATTGAAGAGACCTACCACAGAATATGATTAAAGTCTGGTCGCTGAGCACATAGAATTTTGTCCAATGACCCCAAGCTACCCATCCTTATCGCTCGCGCGTAATTATATTGCTGTCGCGCTCGCACACTCACTGCTACTGTCCATTGCACAGTCGCGACAGCAATATAATTACGCGTGAGTGATATAGGTAGCTTGGGGTCATTGGACAAAATTCTACGTGCTCAGCGACCAGACTATAGAATAATTATTTTTTGAACGTTAGAAACTTCTGTAGCTGATAAACATGATAGTCATCTAAAAACCGTAACTATAGTAAAATATTATTTCTGCCTATCAGTGCCCAATCACAATCCTAATAAGAACCAAACGGAATTTATTGTCCAAGAGTTCTTTTGCCACCAAGCATCATGTTCCAAAAAACTAAAAAATACACCTTCAGAAATTAGTAAAGAAAAAAATGAAAATACTGACAATGATGATGAAATCAATAGTTTGAAACAAGAAATTGAAAGATTAAAACGAGAAAATAGCGATTTGAGACATGAAATAGCAAGATTAAAAGGCAATGATCAGTCAGGTCGGTCTATAATTTTCCCAAAATGTTGATCCTAGTATAAGTTTAGAAAATCAGCATTACTGTTCAATTTTATTACATTGCCCTTTTTAAAAACAATGAATGAAAGTATTGGCAAATTCCTTATTAGAATTAAGTTTAAATTATATGAGGAATTATTTTGATTTATTTCAGGACAAGCCTTCTACGCTGGTGGTTCGGAGAGATCAGGGCAGCAAATACTGGGACCAGGAAAGGGCAGAAAAGATTTTGTCACTGAAATGTTCAAAAGTGTGAGAGAGTAAGTTATACCTTTTATTTGTCACATTCATCATCATTATAATATTATTATAAGATTTATAAGTATCAAATACACTAACCTTTTTATGCAACTTTATCTGTGGCCCCAGTAATGTTACATGGTAGTTAGATAAGTCATGCTGATTCAGATATTCTTGGGAAAATCTCCAGTGAATGATATTGTTATCATGGATATCAGGCTTTAACCTGGAAAGCTGTTCAAAAATGGTAGTTGATCAATCCATCATGCTTATCAAAACTTGTTTACTATCTTAAAACACCTGGAAATAAAGAAATTTGAATACCTGCGTAGTTGTTGAATCAAAAGTTGAACTCTATTGACCAAGCGACTACAACGTGTACTGTTTTCAGAAGAGGTGCGGTCGCGTTCGAGGACGAGGCATCGCCGTCTGCCAGCCGCGGCCGCGGCGGCGGCGGAGCTTTCTCCGGCGTGGGGTACCGGCTTGGTATGGGACTAATTTATACTTCGGGACTATTCCCACCAATATGGCGGATTTACAGTTTGGCCGCCCGTAGGCTAGGGTGGGGTTGGATCTTTATTTAACTTTTATCTTCTGAAATCGAGTAAGCGTCATCTGAAATCTGCCGCCCCTAGGCCGTGGCCTATACGGCCTGTTGACAGATCCAGGACTGATTCCCACCTCTCGTTTCCAACGCTGCAACTCCTGTGTAGCAAGGATCTACAGCTTGACCGCCAATAATAACCCAACCAGTGAAGGAACTTGAGAATACAGGAATGATGGACACTCAGATATTGTCATGAATATAGAACATCACTGATTGAATATTTATTTTTGTCATGTACCCCACTTGGGGGTAGATCTGAAAAACCAGTCTGGACACGTCAGGTGAGTCGGCACGCGTGCTCTCCCGGTATTCCCGAATATCTACGTATACAATATTGGCGACGAGTGTAAAACAGTGTAAAATTGCGTAATAGTGCATAAACAACAAATTGANTTCCGACAAAGGTTGTCAAATTGACTGACATGTTTATCGCATAGTACAGTCCACTATGAAAATTAGCTGTGGTTTGTTTCAACTACCTATTTTAAAAATTTTTGTCACTTTCTAATTGTTGAATTTTATGGAATTGGGAAAGAAGTACCGAGTTTGAAGCGTTCATGAGCAAACATTGCAGTTGAATATTCAAGTTTTGAATTTGATTATTGATGAACAATAAAATAAATCCTACTAGCTCGATTGATGGTTTCATTTAATTTATTTAAACCAGGTTAGCTATAATAATATTTTTTCGTTAATTTATGAAAATATCATCATCATCAGGTGAGATACAGGCCAAGAGCTTCCTCGTTGTGGATAAAAAAAAAAAAAAAATCAAATTAGCCCGTAATCCTGAATCCTGATACATAAAGTTAGCCTATTAATTTAACACAGGTCCGACTGTACTCAGTGTTGCACTATCAAATGCAATTGACGCGCCTCTATGCCAGGGTTTTTATGTTCCTGTGGGTCTAGACAAAGTGCAAATTATAATCGCAAACCAGTCGATAAGTGGTCGAAAAGCCCCTTTTTTGTATGGAGTTTTGACGGATTCGATTTTCGATTCGATCAAAAAGTGCGTTTTGTCTAGGGGGGCTGGTCAGGCTATAGTTTTAGTTGATCTATGATCATATATTGTGCAGTTTATGGAGTCTATGGTCCTAAAGTCGGTAGTCTATGGTGTTACAGTTTGTAGGGTCTTTTGAGTTGTAGTCTATGGTCCTACAGTTTGTAGTCTATGGTCATACAGTCTGTAGTCTAGGGTCCTACTGTAAAGTTTGTAGTCAATGGTCATACAGTCATTATTCTAGGGTCCTACAATTTGTAGTCTATGGTCCTACAGTTTGTAGTCTATGGTCCTACAGTTTGTAGTCTATGGTCATACTGTCTGTAGTCTATGGTCCTACAGTTTGTAGTCTATCTATGGTCATACAGTCTGTAGTCTATGGTCCTACAATTTGTAGTCTATGGTTCTGCAGATTGTAGTCTATAGCCCTACAGGTTGTAGTATATGGTCCTGCAGATTGTAGTCTATGGTCCTACAGTTTTTAGTCTATGGACTCACGTGGTTGCAGGGCGGACAGAACCAGTCGCCCGTGGGGACCAGAAACAGCATCGGTTTGAGACAGCTAGCGTGGTAGCCTGCATCACACTTGTCGCACAGAAGAATCCACTCCGGTTGCTCTGCGCTGCCACAGCGCTTGCAAAATCCGTCGTCTTTTTCTATAAAACGTGAAAATTACGTAGCTATAATATCATAAGCTCAAGAGAATATTCTGATTTTGTTCAGAATTAAAGATTTACCTTCTTGTAGCGTGCGGGCTCTTTTCAAAGGCTCGATGGGTTCGCCGCTCTCCAGATCAGATTCAGGTGAAAATTCATGGTCAGACTTGTTGAAGTCAACTGTGAATAGAATAAGTTTATTTTAAATTACAGCAATCTTTATTTAAATCTGGTTTGTAAATTTTGGTCTAAAAAAAACAGCTTTTTGTCTCTCCTCCTTGATGACTTCACAGTCCCATTGTCATACAAAATCGATGTCAGAGTCGCTTATAAAATGTATATGAATCGACTGGTAGCTCGGGAGCAGCGATTTGCAGCGATTTTCACGAACTTTGGTTAGTTTTCTGACATTGATATTACTGGACGCGCCATTCCTACAATAAGGTGGATCGACGACCTTATAAAGGTAGCAGAAAGGCTAGATGCAGCCATAACTGGACTATGTTCATTGTTCAGCAGTGGACGTCATGTGGCTGAAATTTTTTTTTTTATTTATTTATTTATTATTCATTATTGAGCAATTACATATTTGATCCAAATAGTGTCCTAAATCCTTTTTAGGTTTGTCTAGACACTATGATGATAGAAATGATGATGAATTGATATTGTGCTGTGTACTATCCTTAAATAAATAAATAAATAATGACTCACGGTCGGGCTCCTCGTGCTGTATCTCGAACAGCGGGCCGGTTGAGTCGGAGTCGGCGTCGGTGGAGTCTGAAGCGCGCCAGCCGGCTTTAGGCATGGGCTTGGGCCGCGGCGAGCCAGACGAGCTGCTGCCGCTGGCGTGCCACTCCTCTTCGTCTTTGTTTGTCTGAGGAATAAACTGATTTTTATAGCCTGACCAGGAACATAAAAACCCTGGCATAGAGGCGCCTCAATTGCATTTGATAGTGCAACACTGAGTACAGTCGTACCTGTGTTAAATTAACAGGCTAACTTTATGTATCAGGATTCAGGATTGCGGGCTAATTTGATATTTAAATAAATTAACGAAAAAATATTTGTCATGTACCCCACTTGGGGGTAGATCTGAAAAACCAGTCTGGACACGTCAGGTGAGTCAGNCGGTACTCGTCGATGGCCTCCTTGTAGCGGTTGACGCACATGTCGGTGATGGTGGCGCGCGCCACGTTGCAGCGCGTGTAGACGCCGCACTGCTCGCTGCACAGGTACTCGAGTGTGCGCCCGCACGCCTCCACCACCTCCGCTTCCGTCTGCACGCTGACGATCTCGCGGATCTTGTTCAGCAGAAGGGTCAGGTTCTGGAAAAATAAACGTTTATTTTAGGAAGGCAAAATAGTCTTAATATTGTAGTTTAGACTACAATCTTAGGCCCTCCTCCGAATCGCATGGGCAGCGGCGACGTGGGAGCGACAGAATTTTTTACTTAAAATCAAATATACCGGCCTTCGATAAACACGGCGCGGCAGCGGGGTGGCAGCGACCGACGAGCGGTGCATTCTGTCAAACGGTGACCGCCCGCGCGTCTACGCATTACACTACAATACTCAATACTCAAATCTTTATTGCATTTCACAGTGGGTCTTAAATATATAATTGGATCACCATGAACCCTGTCGGGCACAACAACAATGGAGAGTACAAGTCACAGTACCGCCCGATCTTCCCGTTGGTTTCCAGAACGGATCTGCGTATTGCCCTCGCCGCGTTGCTGCCCGCATATTCGAGACAGCAGCAGCCTTATAGATACAAAGCTAGGCATGTGTGCATACCCCCTCCTGGCGCTGCGTGGTGTAGAGCTCGAGGTCGAAGTACTGCGGGATGGAGACGAGGTTGGACAGCTTCTCGGGGTCGGCGCCGAACTTGTCCAGCAGCGCCGGCAGCGTGGCGATGAAGTGCGCCGTCATCTTCGAGCGGTCGTCGCTCACCATCTGCACGTGACGCACAAGTTGTACGCAAGAACACAAAAATGATATCCAACGTTAGAAATAATAAATGAACTCTGTTTAAAAACTGCTTTATCATTTAAATATCACATTTTTCCCTTGCACTAATTAGTTAATAGTCATTCTTACGCGCTTCACTGCGCGTCCAAGCAGAGCTGGTTACTTACAAAAAATGCGTGTAAATATTTTGGCCTCTTTGAACTTGGTCAATACTGTACCTAAATGGATAAGTAAATAATTTGTGGCACAATTGCTTTTTACATTTTAAATGTTTAGGGCTGATTTTTTAATCGTCAAATAGCTTTTTGTAACTGAAGAATAAACTTGTCATTTTGTCAAAGTGTTAAACTTATTCTTCAGTTAAAAAATATCTGATGATTGAAAAATCAGCCCTTATGTGACAAAAATTAGAACAAAAAACATTTAATATCTAGATCTATCCATCAATCGGTAATGACCGGGCCTCGGGCGCGGACGTACCTTGGCCTGCTCCTTGCTGAGCGCCTGGTGCTGCTTGCGCGAGGCTCCGCGGCCGACAGGCGGCTCGCCGGTGCTGGCCTGCCGCACGCAGCACACCATCAGCTCGATCAGCGACGACTCCTGCGCACGGAAAACAATATTTACTTATTTCAACAATTTTTTTTTTTTGCATAACACAAGGCAGGTATTTGACCGCAGTCGCACCTGATGTTAAGCGAGATATACAGGTCTAGGATGGTACATATTTGCCCTGTAAGTGTCTATTCACTCTCGCCTTGAAAAGGCCCGGATTATAGTCCGGAGTATGTTCATGGGTTCATGCACACAAATATTTTTATTATGCAGGGATCGAACCCGCGTCGTCTAGCAGTAGACCGATACGCAAATCAATAAAGGCTAGGCGGCTGTCAGTTGCCATTAGTTTCAACCATACACATTATTGAAAAAATTTAGACCTTTAGCAAGCTAATATGATCTCCGAAAACAGCGTTAGTGGGTCTGACGCAGAATGCAGCACGGAGTGCGCACAATCCTATACTAATTTAAAGTTGAAGAGTTTGTCTGAATAATAGGTTTGTTAGGACAGTTCCCGTAGAAGTACATCTGCTTGTTCTGGCTATTGGACAACTTGTAAATTACCTACCTACATAAAATTTGTTAATTTCTCATGTAAGTGACTGTAAGGTTTTTAATGAGAAATAAATGATATTTAAACCTAATATTTAGTATAGAGGGTGGAAACGATAAGTGATCTCATTCGATTATTTCTAAACTATGCAAGATATCGAAAAACTGATTACTAATCCTGAAAGTACTTCACATGCTCTATCCAACGGTACCAATATTAGGTTATAGAATTCACTGGATCTATAATTATTGTAACCTATTATTGGTACCGTTTGAAAGAGCTCGTGAAGCACTTTCAGGATCAGTAACCAGTTTTTCGATATCTTGTATAGTTTAGAAATAATCGAGTGATATTACTTATCGTTTCCACCCTGTAGATTTTGAGTGCACTTTATGCATCAAACTCGTTCTAACGTAAACATCAGTGGTCTTCCGTACCTGGCGGTTGTCGAGCGCCTCCTCGCCCGGGCCGGCCTCCTCCAGCAGCAGGTCGGTCATGCACTCCCAGTCCTTCATCATGGGGTTGGACTCGATCAGCGAGTCCACCAGGTACGCGCCGTGCTCGTGCAACTGGAACCACAACGCTTACTTAAAACGGAGTTATGGTTTATTTTTAGCGGTTAGTACTTCTTAGGCCTGAAACCAACACCACAGAAAGCACACAATAATGAATCCAAGAATTTCATCTTTGATATCCTGTGCATTTACAATTACTTTGGACATTGGTTTATAAATAAATAAATTGGTTTTGTGTAGAGTAGATTGAACTGCCGGCTACAAGAGCATGTAGTCACTGAATATACCATAGCGCATAGTAGTAAATCTGTAAGTTCCTGCAAGTCACTGACCTCACATTCATAGGTCCCTAATCTGTCAGACTAACAGGTCACTGACCTCAGACTCGAAGGTCACTGACCTCAGACACGCAGGTCCTTGACCTCAGACTCGCAGGTCACTGACCTCAAACTCATAGGTCACTGCACCGCCGGGGTGGACTAGCAGGTCCCTGTCAGATTCGCAGATCCTTCACTGACCTGTTACCTGACTGCGACTCCAATTCGCAGAACAGCCGCACGTTGAGGAGCTCGGTCACTGACCTCGGACTCGATGAAGAACTGCACGAGGTCGCGCACGAGCGGCGTGTTGGGCAGGCGCTGCTTGCCGCGGCGCGAGCGCACGGGCGCGGCCGGCGCGTCGTCGGCGCGGAACAGCCGCACGTTGAGGAACTCGCCCGCCGCCGCCGCCACGGCCCGCCACGACGAGTACACCAGCTCGTACACGTTCTCGCAGTCCTTGTCCGTCAGCACGTCCGGGTGCATTCTGGAAAGTGAAACGACGCAAATTAGTATGGCTGGCTCCACACATCGGCCCAACATTGGTTCCAACACCACTCGAAAAACTTGTGGTATCTAGCAAACAAAAAATAGGTATAATGTGTGGCGCCGTATCAGAAAACATGAAAATTAAATAAAAAAAGAATTGATCCACTTTGAGGAAGCTATTGGCCTGTATCTCACCTGATAGTAAGTGACGATCAGGCCGAAGATGAAAGAAAGCTTAACCCGGATTTAGTGCCAGATTAACTAACAAAATACAAAAATACTGACCACCACACTAGGCATTGCCTATTCTGTGGGGGAAGGTTTCACGATTAACAGATTATATTGTTTTCCATGAAACTAAAATAAATAAATTATACATAAGTACGTCTAAGCAGAAGTGTTATCCAAGGATGCAATAAATAAAAAATATGAAAAGTACACATATTAGAAGGAAGCAAAATGACAATGTCAAATGCTTGGGTTCAGACACTCACTTGAGTATGGCGATGACGAGCCTGACGGCGTGCACGGCGACGTCGGTCTCCTTGTCGAGTGACATGGACACGATACGGTCCTTGAACTTGGACGTGAACAGCTCCAGCTTGCCCTTCAGCTCCTCGCACTCGTACAGCGGCTGCAGCGCCTGCAGGCAGCGCAGCCGCACCTCGCCCACCTGCAAGGGACTACGTCAGTACGACTCTCCAACTTTAGCATGCAACAAAACCTAAGTATCGACAAAGCGCCATTATTTAGAAAACGTCGCTGCACGCTGCAGTTATATCTGTCAACGTGAAATTGTGAACTCTGTCAGTTTATAATATAACGCGTTAGATTGTAAACTAACAGTGGGTTAGGTTAGATTGTAATTTAACTACGACAGATTATAATCTGACGGAATTCACAATTTCACGGTGACATATCTATCGGCTCGTCAGGATTCGAACCTCAGATATTGTTTATTTTATTTATTGAGGTATACCAACAACATACAAACTACAAAGTATAATATTATGGGCGAAATAGGGTATCATGCAATGAGAATGAGACTTGTGTGTGCACTTTTAATAATAGTCACGAGTTCAAAATCAGCACTTTATAGTTCTACAGTTTAGTTTTTATTGATTGCTTGTTGTAAAATAGAAAATGGGTGTTTTAGTTCTATTGGTTTTTCGTGGATTCCGTGGAGACACGTATTCCCGTAAGGAGGTTTCAAAACGCCATCGGGTACAAAACTCTACACTCGATGCGCGCTCAAATTCGAAGTGTTTCAATGTTTTCATATACTGATCACTGCACTGCACTTTAGAACACAAAATAACACCAGATTTGCACGTTTCAGTCCAATAAATAATAAATTAGAACCATTAAAACAGATCGACCTTGCTTCCCGCACAACTACCCTCCACGGAACGACGCCGTGACCGTTACGGCTGTCAAAGTACGCCAAAACGGTATTGCGCATTCGGCGTTAGGTGGCGCACTTGCGTTTCAGTTTAGTGTCCGTACTCATGACCATCAACGACATACTTATTAGCTTTATGAATAGTTAACTTAGTTAATATCTTTGAATGCATTAATTATGTGGATTATATTACACAAATAGCTCTCACATCACTAGCAGGTAGTTTATAGACACAGTAATGGAGTACTTTTCGTTTCCCTACCTTTGTTATGGCAAATGGCTGAAGGCCATTAAAAAATGGAGCACTTCATTGTACCCATAAATTATTTCTATAAAAACACATCTATAACAGACTCCTATTTTGTCTGTTATAAAGGGGAAAGGATTTTATTGTTTTGTTTGGAGGGAAAAGGATCCAAAATTACTTACCTTGTCGTGCAGAGTCCAGCCAATGTACTTGAGATAGAGATCGTCGAGGAAGTGCGCCGGGAACTTCTCCATCCAGATGCCTATCTCAGCCATTGTGATCGCCCGGATGTCAGGCAGTGTATCCCTTCAAACATTTAATACATACATTTCCATTAATACAAATGCAAATTACCAACTGCAATCAATCACAGGAGTATAATGCGCATAGCTACCTTCTGGCCTTATTTGACACTCATCAGTTGGGTTTGAATTCCAATATTCCCAATGGGGCAAATTGTTAGTGTATCAGGCACTAGTAGTTATAATCAAGGTCATTATTGATGTAATAAACTATTACATAACAACAAATTAATCTAATTGAGACATGCCATCATCTGCTATTTTGTGTTATGTGCCATGTGCACAAGTTGTATTCTTCGCATATCATCTCGCATGGCGCGGCAGTGTGACGTCACCGGGCCTGTTACCTGTATCTGTGCACGAACACGGACTTGAACATGTAGGAGAGCATGTTCTTGATCTCCTCCATGTTCTCCTCCAGCTCCTGCCGCTTGGCCACCAGCACCTCGAGGCGCTCGCTGGCGCGCTTGTCCCGCGCCTTCAGCCGCTCGGCCTCGTACTGGCGCAGGCAGTTGTCGCAGTTCACGCTCGTCAGCAGCGCCACGTCCACCAGAGCTGTCATCAGCTTCATCACTGCAAAGCACCAATGCATGTTTAGAAATAAAGAAAGATCTATTATTAAAATTACGGTGCGCGGGGTCCCCGCGCCTACACATGAATACGCTGCCGCAACCGCGGCCGCTACTCACTCACTCCGTACGACCATCGCGCGCGCATCTTAAACTTGTTGTAATATAACCAGTTTAAAAATACAGTTTTTCATTCATAAATCTCCTATATGGTTCGCAGTTAGGCTAGGCTAACTTAGATCTACGGGGAACAACAATGAAAATCACACAAGGACAAAAAAGGTATATTAAAAAAAACAGAAGTAGCACATAAAACATTACAAGGAAAGAAAAAGTGGACTGAGCAGTGCCACCATGTCACAGCAGCAATGCCCATAGGCCCATTTGCACTAGCCTACAGTGAGGAATAATTAATAATCATAAGTCTGTTCACATAAAACTAAGCCAATTCTTACCTGCAAGGGTGGCTGTGTGCCTAAAGGCTCTCACTTGTGAATCAGAAAGTCCTGTGAGCAGGGATATGATGTTATCCATGAGAAACTGGTCATATATTATGGAGTACTGGCACATTTTTACTAGTGTCTGGATAAATTCACAAAAGTTGGCCCGGAATTTCTTCCATGTCTGTCCAGACATTATTAACGGGTACTCTCCACTTTCCTGCAGAAATAAAATGTTAAAATTTAGTTATAAATACAATACACAACAATGAACACTTAGTTAAAAGGCTTTAGTGAATAATAAAGCTATAAATTTTATGGGTGTATCTGTATTTTGAAAAAATAATAATATTTACCTCATCAAACTCTTGTGTCATCTTTTTGATGATGAGGGTGTGGTCCATCTGAGCCATGTCGGGCGTGACCTTGCCGCGGCAGCCGGAGGAGTTGATGAAGAATTGCATCAGCTGCACCAGCGCGCTCTCACGGTTGGTCTTGTACTCCTCGATCCACATGTCCACTACTTGCTGCAAAACCACACATTTCAATTTTAATAAAGTTAGGATTTACCTAACAAAAACCTTAGATGAAAATGCCTGCGCACTCCTTCACAATTTTTTTACATAGGTAGGTAAGTGAAGGAAATAAAATTTTGCTTTTATAACAATTGTCATGTACCCCACTTGGGGGTAGATCTGAAAAACCAGTCTGGACACGTCAGGTGAGTCAGCACGCGTGCTCTCCCGGTATTCCCGAATATCTACGTATACAATATTGGCGACGAGTGTAAAACAGTGTAAAATTGCANAAGATGGCTGTCATGTACCCCACTTGGGGGTAGATCTGAAAAACCAGTCTGGACACGTCAGGTGAGTCAGCACGCGTGCTCTCCCGGTATTCCTGAATATCTACGTATACAATATTGGCGACGAGTGTAAAACAGTGTAAAATTGCATAATAGTGCATAAACAACAAATTAATAATATTTGTAAAAGTGAAAAGTGCAAAAATGGTGGTAAAGTTTGGTGAGTTTGATGTAGCACATGGCTGTTGGGAAAATTACATCACTAGGTTTGGGTACTGCCTGGAAGCCAGTGAAGTGAAGGAAGACGAGAAAAAGAAAGCGAATTTACTTGCGGTATGTGGCCCTGATTTATTTGATTTAACCCATTTAGACCGATAATTATTTTTGTAAATAAAAATTGATTTTTCAGCAAAAACTTACAAAGGGAAGCCTAAAAATCATGAAAAAAATATTTAAAAAAATAATCCATAAATAGGGGGCCGTGGGGAGCCCGTACCATATAGGGTACAGTAGGTCTATAAGCAAGCAAAACATAGTTGTTGTTCAAAGAAGATTTTTATTTATTTTTGTATGATATAAAATAAAAATAAAATCATATAATCACTAGTATCACACTTGGCATATCTTGTAAGACGTTTTCTGTGATACTAACCACATTTGGTTCTTTTTTCCTACCTTCTCTGAAGTTAGTGAGGATAGCTGAAGAAGATCTGGCTTCTTCTGATTTGTTATGTTTAGTGCTATCCATAATCGCATTTAGCAACACGACGATGGAAATTTAGCAAATCCATCGAAGAAAACTCTGAGGGTTATTATTTACATTGACACTATCTTTATCGCCTAAATCTTCATCAGTCTGATCATCATTAGCGGTCATCTGACAAGACAGCAGTAGTAAAATACCAAAAATGCTTTATGTTTGCTGAAATTATCAAATATTTCATGATTTGTGGCAATAAAGTGAGCATCAATAGCCTAAAACAAATAAAAATAATAAAAATTAAATTTTATTTTTCGCACGATTTGCTCATGCATAGACCTACTGTACCTTATACGGTACACCTATTTTAGAGTGGAATAAACAGTATAAAAATAATCTCAATAATATTTTTTTTGTAGTCATGATATCTATTGTACTCTATTTTTAAAATAAAATTGATAAATAACATAATTTACCATGAATAATAAGAATCTTAAATACATTGTAAATTTTTTTTTTGTTTTATGTCGAGGAATTTCATAAATATTTCCGAAACCACTTGTTAAAACATATTTTTAAATATTTTTATGTAAAATAATCACTTTAAGCTTACTGTCACAATCATTTTTACAAATTAATAACAGTTTGGTACTTCGAAATATTTTCAAAAAGATACCGTACCACATAGGGTACGGTAGGGCTAAATGGGTTAATATCGTCATTGGTTGCTCCTAAAAAAATAAGTGAGGTTACATTTTCAACTATAAAGACTTATTTAGACAATCATTTCCACCCAAAGCCAAATGAAATAGTGGAATCATTTAAATTTCACTCTAGAAATCAAGAAGACGGGGAAAAAATTAGAGATTATGTAGCAAGTTTGAGGAAATTGTCAATACACTGCGATTTTGAAAATGTCGACCGCACACTAAGAGATCGATTGGTATGCGGGATTAGAGATAAAGATATTCAAAAGAAAATGTTACAACAAACGAGTTTGACATTCCAATTGGCTTGTGAAATTGCTTTGTCGCATGAATCTGCCAATTGTGACTCTAACATTATCATTTTACCTAATACTAGTAGTCCAACTCAAGTGTTTGAGGAACCCATGGACATTAATAAAATTTCATTTAAAAAAAGTGAAAAACAAAATTGTTTCCGGTGTGGTAAACAACACAAAGGAGAGTGTAGATTTAGATGGGTAAAATGTAATTTTTGTGAANCTTAAACTTCTACGATAGGTTTCTACCCCATAAAGCTACTATAGCCGAACCCCTATACAAATTGTTACAGAGTGACATGAAATGGCATTGGAATAGCGGACATCAAAGGTCTTTTGAAAAGCTACGTACAATGTTAACTAGTGAAGACACGCTGGTTCACTACGACCTCAAGAAAAAACTATTATTAACATGTGATGCATCTCAGTATGGGCTAGGAGCTGTATTGGAACATGAAATGGAAGATGGCACCGTTAGACCCATCATGTTTGCTTCTAGAACTATGAATGTTCATGAAAGAAATTATGCACAAATAGACAAGGAGGCAGCAGCGATAATATTTGGGTTAAAAAAATTTCATCAGTTTATAAGTGGCAGGAAGGTTGTGATAAGGACCGATCATAAACCTTTGCTAGGATTATTTGATCCAAAACGACCAATCCCAAATATTATTTCACCAAGAATGTTAAGATGGGCTCTATTATTAAATTCATATGATTATCAAATAGACTATGTTCAGGGCAAGAAACTTGGAAATGCTGATGCTCTAAGCCGCTGGCCTTCTACAGACCAAGGCAAAGTGGAAGAAGAATATTCAGGGGTACTATTTATCGAAGAAACTCCACTTGAGTTAGAATTCTCTGCAGATGAAGTAGCAAAATTGACGCTAAAGGATCCAAAATTAAGCAAAATATTATATTGGATACGAAATGGTTGGCCAAGTAAAGTAGAGACAGAATACAAAGTATTTTGGCAAAAACGAGAGGAAATGTCTTCTTTTAAAAATTGTATTCTGTGGGGTAATAGAGTAGTATTGCCTGAAAAGATGAGAGCAAAAGTATTGGAGGAGTTGCATTCGAACCATGATGGTATCGTAATAACAAAAGCTCTAGCTAGAAGCTATTTTTGGTGGCCAGCTATCGACAAAAATATAGAACAGATGATAAACCGTTGCAATACTTGTGCAGAAAATAGAAACATGCCTAAGAAAGTTACACACAGTTGGATAAGACCAGATAAGCCATGGTCGAGGCTCCATATGGATTACGCAGGACCTTTTCAAGGGAAAACTTTTTTCATTCTAATTGATGCATTTTCAAAGTGGCCAGAAGTGAAGATAGTTCCTGATATGAGTAGTGGAACACTAATAAAAACATTACGAGAAATATTTACAGAACAAGGGCTACCTGACACAGTTGTGAGTGACAATGGAAGATCATTCATTTCTGAGGAGTTTCAAAACTACTGCAAATCAAATGGTATAAGACATGTTCTAGTTGCACCATATCACCCTGCCTCTAATGGACAGGCAGAACGCACTGTGCAAACCATTAAAAATAAACTTAAAAAACAATCACCTGGATCTTGGCATATGAAACTTACATCAATGTTATATGGCCTACGAACAACGCCAAACAGCACCAACGATAAAACCCCGGCAGAATTATTAAATAACAGACATTTCAGAACCAAGTTTGACTACCTAAATCCTCTTACTTTCAAAGATAAACCACAGCTTGAAGAATTGGAAGAAAATGAAAGCAGGAATGTGAGGTCAGTAAAGGTTGGACAAACTGTTTATTTAAGGAATTATGGCAAAGGCCCCCAATGGATCAAAGGTGTGGTAGAGAAGAGAATAGGAATTTGTAGGTACTTAATTCAATGGAATGGAAAATTGCTAAAAAGACACATAAACCAGATTCATCTATTTGGGGAAGAGAAAGGTGAAACAGAACCAAAACAACAAAGTGAAGAAAACATACTAAGGGAAGATGATGATGATGAGGAGGAGGAGACCATAGTTATACCCTCACCTTCAAAATGGGCAGATATTATAGGAGTATCAGGGCCACAGGATATTGATGCTACACGGAGGATACAATATGAACAAACAGCACCTGAACAATATAAAAGGGCTCGCTCAGAATCAGCATCACCTCAACAGTCCCACAACAAAAAACCAAATTTGGACTTAACACATGAAGATGAAGAGGAAGATGAAGATCTAGGAAGTGAAGTGGACGATTAATTTAAATAGAAAAGTTAATGCATATTATAGTTGTTAAGAGTGATGTGTTGTGTAAGTGTTAGTAATATAGACTAGTGATAGAACTTAAAGACTAAAGTGATAGTGAACTATCCCGGGGGAAAGGCATGTCATGTACCCCACTTGGGGGTAGATCTGAAAAACCAGTCTGGACACGTCAGGTGAGTCAGCACGCGTGCTCTCCCGGTATTCCCGAATATCTACGTATACAATAACAATAAATAAACCTTAAATTCATCCTTTCCAAAGTAGTTTTAGGAGCATTGATAAAAAATTTAAAATTAAAATATTTTATTTAGCCCTTTCCAGAGCACTTATACACGTCCCAAATATAGCTTGCCCTACCACCACTTCGGGACAACATATGGACTTGTACTGATAAGAAGTGGCGGAAGAAACTCAGTCACCTTTGTCACACACACACTCACACATAGTCAACAGGAAAGGATCTTTATATTATAGGCCTCTTCATTGTCTCATTCTACACTCAAAATTAGTTGCAAAGTCAAGAAAGATCTTCCAAACATGGACCAGTCACAGCCTGGAATCTACTGTAATTACATTTTTGTAAAGAAACTTATAAACTTACATTGATAGCAGTTCTGTTAAATCGGAGGATGTTGTACAGACTGTTTTCATCATCACCAGGCAACAGCACCGGGGGAGGTGAATATGCCGGAGGCGGGGCTGCCGCACGCCCCTTGCCCCTGCCTCGGGCGCCTCCACCGCGCGGCCGCCGGCGCACCGGCGGGGGCGGCGGGGACTCCGCCAGCCGACCCACGTAGCCTCCGCCGTCAGCGCCTCGCCCGCGACTGCGAGTGATGCGCTTGGTGGGCGCCGGCGATGGCGAGCGAACTTCCTCTTCTTCGTGGTGAGACTCCTCAGCCTCCTCCCGAACGGGTTCACCGGCTCCTCCGTCGAAACCTAACCGATTCGGTTCAGGCTCGTGCACCGATTGACCGCCATAGTCCGTCGCTGGTGTTGCAGGAGTGGTCGGATTTGCGTACTCCGGTGGTGGATCATCCATTCGGATGCGTTTCCCGCCGCGACGGTGCATCCTGATTAGCACTATTTGAAGTCACTTAAAATGTCACAAACAAATCACGTCTGGTGATCAACCATAATTTTCCAGTCGTTTTGAGAGTAGTTATTACCAACACTTCATTGATTTTACGATATTGATTTACACAAACTGCCTGCAAAAAAATGCAAAACGACGCTAGCAAACCACAGACAATAATGTTTTTTTTAACTCACCATCACCACATTTGGAAGTCTATGACATGCTTTGTCTATGGTCAACAGATGTGATTCTAGCTTTATAGCTCAATCAAAATCAACGCTCATTTCATTCATACAAAATTCACTTAGATCGAATTTGCGAAAAGTATCCGAACGTAGACTAAAAATAGAAAAAAACTATGACATGAAACGTCACGTCATGCGTCATACGCACAGATGTCATACGTCACGCGTAATGCCAACTGCCAAGTGTACGCAGAAGAACTCCAATCACGGAATTTGGTATTGAAATTGTATATTGGAGACAAGCGCGATCACAATTCAGCCCTCGAGCCCATATAATGTAAACGCGATGAAGAGTAGGAAAGAACGCGTAGGGGGCTGAACGAAATGTCGATAGAATACGTGCCGGTCAGCGAGGGCGAGCAGGACGAGCCCATCGAGCTCCCCACGGAGGAGGACGGCTCGCTGCTGCTGAGCACGGTCGCCGCGCAGTTCGCGGGCGCCAGCGGGCTCAAGTACCGCGCCGGCGGCCGGCTGCGCGGCGTGCGCCAGACCGACGAGCGCCTGTCGCCGCCGGCCGAGGGCTGGGCCGCGCACCGCTACTGGTGCGCCTTCCCGCGCGCCGAGCCCGCCGCCGCGCCGCGCCCGCGCTGCTCCGACCTCATCGTGCTGGGGCTGCCGTGGAAGACGGGCGAGGAGGCCGTGCGCGACTACTTCTCCAGCTTCGGCGAGCTGCTCATGGTGCAGGTGAAGCGCGACGCCAAGACGGGGCTGTCCAAGGGCTTCGGCTTCATCAAGTTCGCGTCGTACGAGGCGCAGGCGCGCGCGCTGGGCCGGCGCCACATGATCGACGGGCGCTGGTGCGACGTGCGCATCCCCAACGGCAAGGACGGCGGCGCGGCGGCGCACCGCAAGGTGTTCGTGGGCCGCTGCACCGAGAGCCTGACGGCGGAGGACCTGCGCGAGTACTTCGCCGCCTTCGGCCAGGTCACGGACGTGTTCGTGCCGCGGCCCTTCCGCGCCTTCAGCTTCGTGACGTTCCTGGACCCCGAGGTGGCGCAGTCGCTGTGCGGGCAGGACCACATCATCAAGGGCGTGTCGGTGAACATCTCCACGGCGTCGCCCAAGCGCGAGCGCGGCGCGCGCGGCTCGCAGCTGCTGGGCTGGGGGCTGGTGGAGGGCGCGCGCGTGTTCAACTGGCCGCCGCAGGACGCGTGGCCGGCGCAGCAGCCGCTGGACAAGTCCTACCTCAAGTACGAGTGACCGCCGGCCGTGCGCGCCGCGGCGCCGGACCGAACCTTTCTTGTTGATCGCTGTCAGATTTTATATGAAAGTAAATGTGTACATAATATAATATAGTAATGAAGTTGTCTAAATGAGACTTGTTATTTTGTTACCGTTTATATTTTGAGGCTTGAGAATGTGAAATCTAAATAAATCTGTCCATTGAAAAAATATCTACTCGTAGAGGTATGAATTTTCAATACTTTATTGATGTTTTCACCCAATCAACCGCAATCAACGAATACAATTTCATCACTTGTTTCTCTGAAAATACCTGATGTATTGGAATAGTGGAAGGATATTAAATTTGGAATCCTGTATAGTGAGGAATCTCTTGAGGTCTTTAATTTCAAGTGTACAGTTCCAGAGCTTGAAAGCCAAGCAGACTCTTGGAGAAGAAAGTACATCGCTATGATGAAAAAGATGCTAGATAGGTAAAAAAGTGGTAGGTAAAAAAATTAATTATATATCCAACTTAATAAAGTTCACAACTCCAATAATCACACCTAAGTACCTCATGCACATGATAAATACACAAAAAGTAAACAAATTGCATTCATAATCACTTTATTTACTGTTTAAACTGTTTTTTTATTATAATATGAATTTCGTGTCAATCTAATTACAGTTCTCATCACTCATGTATCTCAAGATACCACAGGAATAAACATCACGTTTTATCACATCACTACAAAAAGGTCAAAATTCAATAGTTTTTGTCAACGCTCTGGAGTAGAACGACCCAATTCTCGCGATCAATCGAAGAACTGGGAGGGGCGCTTCAGCGCAGGTACTTGGCCGCCCAGTCCACGCGCGCCGCCCCGCTGCCGACCGCCGTCGCTTCTGGAACAAACAACGCCCATGGGTCGTCATCGTGCCCGACTACAACTCTAATTTATTTCAAAGAACTGACCTCTCTTTTAGTAGCGAGCAGGCAGGCGAGGTCGTTACGATTACGATAGAGCAAAAAATAGATTTGAGTAAATTACCATGTACAAGGCGACGCCCAGCGGTTAGCAAAACTGAGTCGTATGTTGTAGAGGAAATAGAGCAGGCAGTGCAAAACACTATTCGCACCACTCTCACAGATTATATTATCTAACGCGCATGCACCGTATTTCATTAGCGATTCGATTAGCAGGTAGGTATAACTATTTCGAAGATAAAATATAAAAAGCCCTGAGAATCCGGAGGAACATAGAAATACCTGTCTACTTGTACTGTTTGCGTACTCGTACCGTGATGCGAGCGGAGCGGCAGCGGGTGGAACAGCGAGGTGTCGATGCGTGCGCCGGCCACGTAGCGAGCGGCGCCCAGGTACGCGGCCGCCGCACCCGGCGCCGGCGCCGGCGCCACCTGCAGCGCGCCCAGCACGCTGCGCCCGCGCCGCGCCTCCGACCGCGCCTCCGCCTCGTGCACCACCTCGCCCCTGCCACACCACCGCTGTGTATACAATCTGCTAGCCCGGCAATCCGGTCTGGCTGGAGGGTCATGATTCGAGGATTTCCGAGTACAAAATAGCAACTAAGTATCTATTATGACTCGCTCAACAATAGTATAATTCGATACGGCGACACGTGCAATAGAACTTAACCCACCCGAGTATATCGGCAAAGCGGTCGCGCATGAGCGGCGCGGGTTGCGCCGGCGGCGGCGGCTGCGGCGCCGGCTGCTGCATGATCGGCGGCGCGTTTTCGGCCTCCGCCCGGGAGCCACTCCTGAATGCAGTAGATGGACGTTATCACTACAATATACTAAAAATATTAAAATAATTCAAGCGTAACCGAGCCGCTCTCACCGTCGGGCTCTCGATGCCGGTGGTGGAAGAATTAAAGCGGCGCCCACTGCGAAATATGGGAATCTGAAAGCAAATATTGTATCTCATCATACAATTATAGCACGAAATCGAAACAATCACGTTAGTTTTGAAGCGGGGCAGGTACCGGAGCGCCTGCGGCGCCGTGGGGCGGTCGCGCGGCGGGTAGCGCAGCAGCGCGGCCAGCAGCGCCAGCGCGGGCGGCGAGGCGGCGGGCACGACGCGCGCCAGCGGCACGCCGGCGGCGGGCGGGAAGCGGAAGCGCAGCGCGTCGGCCAGCGCGAAGCCCTCGGGCCAGTCGTCGCGCTCGGGCGTGCCGAGCACGGCGCAGATCTTGTGCAGCTGGTCGATCTCGGAGTTGCCGGGGAACAGCGGGCGGCAGGTGTAGAGCTCGGCGGCGATGCAGCCCAGCGCCCACAGGTCGATGGGCGCGCCGTAGCGCGTGTCGTGCAGCAGCACCTCGGGCGCGCGGTACCAGCGCGTGGACACGTAGTCGGTGTAGGGCGGGCGCGAGCGCACCTCGCGCGCCAGGCCCAGGTCGGCGATCTTGACGAGCTCGGGCCCGGCGCACAGCAGGTTCTCGGGCTTGAGGTCGCGGTGGAAGAAGCCGTGGCGGTGCATGTGCGCCAGGCCCTGCAGCACCTGGTACAGCATGTTGCGCAGCACGGGCTCGGCGAAGGGCCGCTCGGCGTCGCGCAGCAGCTGGTACAGGTTGCCGCGCATGTACTCGAACACGAAGTACAGCGTGTCGTTCTCGCGGATGACCTCGCGCAGCTTCACGATGTTGGCGTGGTTGAGCTTCTTGAGCGACTTGACCTCGCGCAGGTTCATGGCCTCGTCCCAGGAGTAGTACTTGCGCTTCATGCGCTTGATGGCCACCTTCTCGCCCGAGTCGCGGCGCTGCGCCAGCACCACGGAGCCGTAGGTGCCGTCGCCCAGCTGCTGCAGCACCACGTAGCGGTTCATGGCTGCGGCTGCGGCGGCCTCGCTCACTGCCCCAGCACCGCCAGCTCCGCATGCTCGCCGTCCACACGGACCATTGTGACTCGACGGTATATCCGACGATCCAGAATCGATTATTACACTGGAATCACATTACATTGTTTGGTGACATACTTCTGGTAGATGCAACTTTAGACTTTAGTAGACTTATTCCCCACGGATGAAAACACGCAATTTTCTAACTTGCCACCGCTACACCTGTTATGCAATCCGTAAACGATTAAGAACCATTCTTAGTTCAGTAGATTTTATTCTAATATGATTCTTTATCAAATTGTGCCAAGATACGATTTGTCGAGGAAATTGTGTGCATCGCGTCGCTATGGTAACCGCGCGTAGTGACAAAACATACATGGTGTAATAATTTTTAAAATTAATGAAACTGCTCCAATAAACTGACCTTTGAATAAATATCAATTTTAATTTCCTAGCAATCAGCATAATTGGTAACTACAAACAAGTATTTGTATTTAATCAATAATGGTAATTTCGTGACTAATACAGTATGATACAATTTCAGATTGAGTAAACTGAAGCTTATTACATTTATACCTAAAATATTACACAGCGACTTTTATACAATGATCTTAGTTGTTTTCATCTAAGAACTTAGATACAATAGTAGTTCTCTGTTGAATTTATTGTAATTCCCAGGAATGCTCATTTGAGGACATAAACGTACTAGATTAAGACCTTAATAATTATATTATCAAATGAAGCAATACATGTATTGTTTCTATATTCATTAATCGCTAGCTTTTGCCCGCAGCTACACCCGCGTGAAATTTAGTTTGTCACAGATCGTCATAAATTATAGCCTATATCACAGAATACATAATAGTAGCCTATGTTATTCTGGGTTATAAAGAATAATACTGTAAAGTTTCATCGAAATTCGTTTAGTAGTTTTTGCGTGAAAGACTAACAATCATCCATCCAGACATCAAATCATTTTCATCAAAATACATAAAACAAAACTGGGTTAGTTATGCCATTTATAATTCGAGAATAGCTGGAACGATTTTAATTATTGATTTCCGAATAGCATAATAACCTTATTTAAATTGGAAAATAAATTAAGAAAAAATAATATTCTGTCTTGGATTACGCAGTGAAATTGGTATAATTTTATTAGTACAAAAAATATTATTAGGAGAAAAAGTAGTACCTATGTAGAAGAACCGAACAAACGTTAGGTTAAAAAAATATTAGGTTTTTTTTAACCTAAAATTATAATTTCACATGTCAAATAGAAAAACACCGATATTTTTGTATTATTTAATTTATGTACACCCCTATTAACAAACAAAAAAGAAAGGATTGTTTCAATCCCTAAGCATTTAAAAAAATTATACTTACGAACTATTTTAACTAAATAAATACCTAATTTGTTTATATGATTTTTCAACAGTTTATAGCATAAACTAAGTACTATCGGCCACAGTGTTAACTACTCATTGTTAGTCATGTCGCGTGTCGTCTCGTTCTATCGCAAAGAATCACCATTTGATGACAGCGAGAGCAAAAACGGAAATGGATAGTTAACACTGTGGCCGTGTTTACTTCTAAAGGCTTATGCGTAGAAATAAAATGAACTCTTTGAGAGTAGTATTTTACACTGGGAGTTTATTGAGTTTTTAAGCTCCTGCGTCGGCATAGACTAATAAAGCCTAGATATAGATAGTAAGTGCACGAAAAGTGAGGCAACTTTAAAACTTGAAAATGTATTGTTTTAATAAAATTTCTTATTAAATAGTTGTTAAATAACAAACAATAACATTTTATTACGATAAATGTAGATAAAAATCTCAAATTTTTAACAACGTTTTGACAGTAATGACATAAGATTTTTGTCTCATTTTTGACGATGCCTTTGTATGAAGACTATCCATTTAATTCTAGGCCTTATTAATCTAAGACAGCGGGCTAAACTTTAGTGGGTTCCAGGATATTGCACGTTCTACAAATGTCACAGTCGCAGTCCCAGTCGAATGAGGGCTATCGTTTTAGCGCTCACCAGTTAGCGCCACTGTAGAGTGAGGTCCTGTCACTTGCTAGGAGCGAAGACAGTGGCACCAACCGGTGAGCTCTAAAGCGGTAGGAGGAGGACTATCGCATTTGCACTCATCAAGATGGCGCCACTGTAGAGTGAGGTCCTGTCAATCACCAGGGGTGCCAACTGTTAGGTAAGTATAAAAACGATAGCCCTCATTGTGGTCCGGCTGGTCGTTAGCCTCGTGCGAGGCGCGCGGCCCGGGCGGGCGCGGCGGGCGCGAGGCCGGTGAGCTCGGCGGCGCGCTGGAACACGTCGTCGGCGCGCGGCCGAGCACGCGCCGCCCCGTGCCGCAGCACGTCGCGCAGCAGCGCCGGCCGCGCGCGGTACTGTAGAGCCCGCTCGCGAATGGGCGCGATCGTCGCGCACAGCTCGCGCGCCACCTGCGGACCGTAAGCGTTCTCAAAAAAACTCCGAGAAGGACTAAAGAACAACTGGGCGACGAGTGGCAATGCTCAGGGCACATGTTACGCAAAACCGATGGGGGAGCAAGGTTCTGGAGTGGAGGCCGAGCCACGTACTTTATGAGGTCGTCGGTGCACCTTGTGGGTGGACGTCTCACGCTGCGTTTTACCAAGAGGCGTAGTCTATATTCGATATCGAGTGCGTAAAAAATGACATTAAATGTATGACGGATTGTACAGCGCCCCTAGCGAGTACTTTCAAGAACTAAAATTTTCATAATAATATATTTTTTTAACGTAGTCGATATCGAATGCATTTGACAGAAACTCACACTACACCCCGTGGAAAACGCAGCGTGAGACGTCCACCCAAAAGGTAGACTAACGACCTCATAAAGGTAGCAAAATGGAGCTAGATGCAGTTCATCAGTGGACGTCTTGTGTCTGAAATTAAGACGATGACGAGTGACAGCCGCGACCTCCGATAGATGACGCGCACATTCGCTTATGGGGGCGTACCTCTCGCTTGTACTGCGCCGTGGTGAACCCGTCGCTTTCCTCCACCACCTCCTCGGGCGTCTTGTCGGCGGCCAGGCAGTGCAGCGCCACCAGGTTGGCCACGCCCGGCCGCGCCTCAGGCTCGTACGTCACCTGCGATATAAGAATACAATAATGGAAGCAGTGATCAAAACATCAATTATAGTCTGATCTGCGAGCAAGTAGAATTATGTCCAATGACCCCAAGCTACCCATCCTTATCACTAGCACGTAATTATGTTGCAGTTGCGCTCACTGCAGGCGCCCGTCGCACAGTAGCGACAGCAATATAATTACACGCGAGCGATAAGGATGGGTAGCGTGGGGTCATTGGACAAAATTATATGTGCTCACAGACCGGGCTTTAGTTCTTTCATTCGGGTGAAGTTCACGCACCTGTGGAGTGAAGTCTGTGACCGCTTTTCTGATTTTTTTAGTGATAACGTCGTCCGAGTCGCTCAGCAGTATCCGCGACTTGGGGTCAGCGTCCGACTTCGACATTTTCTTACTCGGATCGCGTAAGCTCAGTATCCTGTCGCTGCCATCCTCTGTCGAGAAGAAAAAAACTTCAGTACTACCTCTGGGCGAGTAAGTCCTTTACACTCATAGTCAAAGTCAAAGTCAAAATTTCTTTATTTGTTTGGACTTATAAATAGTTCTTACAAATCGTCATTTTGCTCTTAAGGAGCCTCTACATGTCTCATAATCTTTTTACCCTACCAGCGCTTCGAGACCAACATTTGGCAAGTGCTGAGAAGAAGCGCCGCAACAAACTCAGTCACCACTGTCTGCCGGTTAATATAAATAAATAGAAATAGTTTTTTTTTTTATTATTAGTCTGGTAGTTTATTACCAGATAATTAGAGATAAATGTAGATGTTGACTTTCTTAAATAGGTTTTTTTTTTTGAGAGAGAGTGGAATAGTTTCTCGCTATTTTGTACGAGCAAACTGTAAAAGTACGTGAGTCAATAATATTTACAAAAATGATGATGATGATGATAGTTATATACAATGTTTTTTGTTTTTTTTTTTATACATTTTTGTTTTTATATTTTTTTTTGTTTTTAATGTTATATNCCATGCATTCTTGTATGGTGTATCTTATAAGAATGGGTATACAAGATTGCGTGGTATATTAAACAAGGTAGTGACGTGCTAATATCTAGACTTACATATTAGATACTAGTAGAAATGACTCGCATACATAAATTTGAATAACTTGGATTGACCAGTCCCCGAAAGCAGCGCCTGTTCACAGACATGACGAGTGAACCAGCCATCGCTTCACTCGACCATATTAGAGGGAATGTAACGACCCGCCTCACTACGCCACCACCCCAGAGACATTTTAGTGAGAATGACAATTCCAAGTTATCTCTTTAAAATAAAAAACTACTACATATGGCACAGTTACACTATGCGGAAAATAGATCGAAACATCAGTGCGTGCCTGCGTGATCGAATCAGAATGAGGAGATCCGCAGGAGAACTAAAGTGATTAACATAGCCCGTAGAATCGCTAAAATCAAATGGCAGTGGGCGAGGCACATAGCTCGCAGAGCTGATGGCCGCTGGGGCAGAAAAGTTTTCGAGTGGTTATCACCAGCCAGAAGACGTAGTGTGGGCAGGCCTCCAACTAGGTAGGCCGACAATCTGGTGAAGGTCACGGGAAATGCCTGGAAGCGGGCGGCGCAGGACCGGTCTTTGTGGAAATCCTTGGGTGAGGCCTTTGTCCAGCAGTGGACGTCATTCGGCTGAAACGAACGAACGATATAGTGTAAACACGCACTTCAGCTAGTTTCGCTGGGCGTCGCCCATACTTCGGTGTCCGTTCTCGCGCTTCGTCTTGGTCAATATATTTTTTTATTTTGTATATTACGTTGATTATGAAGGATACCTGGCAGCAGCGGGCGCGGCGTGGGGAAGAGCGGTCCGTAGCGGTGGCGGAAGGTCCGCACGAGCTGCGCCGCCACCTGCAGGTGCTGCAGCTGGTCGCGCCCCACCGGCACGTGCGTGCCGCGGTACACCAGCACGTCCGCCGCCTGCACGCAACGACAGTTTATTATGTCCTCGCACAAATCGATCCCTATCGCCGATGAACATTGTGTAATTGACCCATTTGCAACACAAGCATTATGTATTTAGCTTTCCACAGAGGGTTTGCAGGATTTTTTTTTATGCAACGTGTTCCAAAATTCAACGATAACCCGGCGACGTAGGGTGGACATGGTCATGAATACTTCAGGAAATATAAGAAAAAATGAGTGAATTTTTTTTAAGTTATATAATAAATTGTCAAATTTTTTAAAAACTGACATCCCTTATGATATTTTAAGTTATCACAGCCACAATTTTTCAAATATTTGTCTTTTTTTTTAATGGCAACTTAAGTGGTATTGTTGTCCACTGCAACTCTTAAAAACCCTAGAATGCTTGCAGTTTTTACACAAAAATAAATAAAATAAAATGTTTTCCGTTACAATTAAAAAAAAAACTTGATTTTTCCTAAAGCAGTCATGACCATGTCCACCGTACGACATTGACTTATCATTGAATTTTTGGTCACATATATTTTGTACAAAAAAAAATCCAAATAAAAATACCTGCAGCACAGGGTAGAGTAGCAGCCCCAGCGGCACCTCCTTGGTGGCGGCGGCCTTCTCCTTGTACTGCGGCAGGTGCGCCAGCCGCGCGTGCGTGGCCAGGCACGCCAGCAGCCAGCACAGCTCGGCGTGGCGCGGCACGGCCGACTGCGCGAACAGCGTGCTCCGGTCCGGGTCGATGCCGCTGGCTAGCAGGTACGCTGTCAGGTCGAGAACGTTCTCTTGGAGCTGCTGAGGGTCCTGGAGTTGTTTTTATAATTTTGTGAGTATAATCTTTGAATGATAATACCAAACACGTGTATGTTAACTAAACTTTTCATTTGAACCAAAAATATGCATCACTTCAGTATTTAATTTTAAATATATTTTTATGAGGAATCTGAGGAATGTCTAAAACCAGGGTCAAACTAGATAGCTTTCAACAAGCAATGCTCAATATCCAGTAATTTACTACATCCAGAATGTTACAGAAGTGGTATGGTAATTTATTTTAAATTATGATTATTATGGATATTATGGATATTGCAGTGCCGTGTGGTGACGGCAGAGTAGAATACATTTGTCACCAACCCCTACTCTTCCCGCGGGTGTCGTAAGAGGCGACTTAGGGACTACACATCAAACAGAGAATGGGCAGCAGCGCTCTCTGAAAAACATCAATCTTTTAAACTGCGATCTCCAACCCGCCTGCCAAGCGTGGAGATTATGGCAAAACCCTCCACTATAGTGGAGGAGGCTCGTAGTCCAGCAGTGGACTGTAAAGGGCTGTTGATGAATTGATGATTATGGATATTATGAGTTGCTATCAGAAAATAATGAAACTAATATAAGGAGGCATCCCAGCTAGAAAACTCTTCTCTGTGCCATTCCGCAGTGAAATATATTACCTGTTTAGTGGTGAGCGAGTGCAGGTCGGCGATGAAGATAGTGAGGTCGTCGCCGGCGTCCTGCAGGCGCACGCAGCGCCGCACCGCGCCGAAGTAGTTGCCCACGTGCAGCGCGCCCGTCGGCTGCACGCCCGACACCACGCGCCGCTCCCAGCGCGCGCCCGCCTCGTCCGCGCCGCCGTCGCCCGCCTCTGCCGAGCAGCCCACCGGCGGCGCCGTTTCTAAGCTCTGCAATTTTTTATCAAATCTCACATGAGACTACGCGACAGAGCTTTTCAGACTACAAGAAGTCTCAATGTAAACCACCTATAACTGTTCTTCTTCTAAAATCACTTGATTATAGGTTAGAATGTTCAATACTTCAGGAAGCTCTTTAGAAACGAGTCTATTTGTTATTAAAGTATGGAATCTTATACAAAAATCAAAATAAACATTAATCCCATCCGAACTAATAGAGAAATAATGTAAATAAACGTACCTTACTGGACAAACTTCGAGCGATCGCATTTTGGCGAAAAACATGAACACATCGCTTACAATGAATGAGACCTTTTCTGAAGACATCCATTTATCAGAGTTGTGTACACCTAAATACCGTGTAATAAACGTTTTGTTTTTTTCACTATTCCAATTTTATTAACAACAGCAAAATGCAAATCCACAAATTGACAGCAATCAGCTGTGTTTTGTTGTCAAAAGTGGACCATAGACAACCAAACTATGTAGAAAAATAAAAGTCAAAACAATTTGTTTATGGTAAGAAAATTTTTATAACCTCTGGCGCTTACAATTTTTTAACGAAGAATTGAAAAAACTTTGATAAATAATACTCGAGATTGGTTAAATTTGTTATTTACGCACAGTTTTGGGACCTAACATTGTGAGTATGAATTAAATATTAAGAATTCTTATGTCGATTTAGGTTTGTTTACTGAACTAAGATTTGCCGCTTGTGGTTTAATTTTCATTTTATAAACCTGTAAGGCTTTATTAATCTAAGCCTGTAAGTCCGTATTCTTTGGTAAGTCCTTTTCCTATTCCTTTTATACTATCTCTATGCCAAATTTCATCAAAATCAGTTCAGTGATTTAGGCGTGAAAGCAAGATAGACAGAGTTACTTTCGCATTTATAATATTAGTATAGATAACAAACGAAAGCGAATAGGTGTAGAAAATAGTGGGTCACTACGTCAATACCAATAGGCTCGCTCAGCATTTATCACCCAAGAAACTGGTCTTCAACAGGTGAGTTTATTTAAAAAAATATTAATGTTTACACTCTGAAGATCCGAAAGACTAATTTTGGAGCTTGAATTTACTTTATAGTGATTATAGAAACAAAAAGCTGTTGTATTTAATCACCAAAATCACTCTTTCCGGTTGAAATAGTTTACTAAGACACCTTGTATAAATACAAATAAATTCAGGGATGTAACCATATCTAAGGGCTAGGCTAGTTAACTACTAAGTTTTACTTGTGTTATTCAAAGTAGCTGACCCGACTGATTTTGTAGAACTTATGGAAAGTTAATATGGTTGTTAAGTTTATTCCATTTCATTTAAATGAACAATTACTAAGTCCTTTATATTGTTCGGTGCTTAAACTCTAGACTCTATTCAATCGATTTTTGTTTTTACTAGTGTATAATTACCCTAACATTGCAAAAAGAAATGCTGTGTATACCTGTAATTGAGGTCATATACGTATCATGTGTTAAACCATGTTAAAATGTATGAACTGTATTGTGTATGTGACTTTGTTGGTGTACCTAATAAATAAATAAATAATTTCTTTTCTAATTTTTTTTTAATTTTTCTTGCACAGGAACTGACAATAATGAATTGATTTTTCTACCATGTACCTTTTTATTTATGAGCCTCCTTTTGAACACAGATAACCTGTCACTAAGGTTTAGTAGTTTTCATGACACGACATAATAGGTCCATGATGACATAGCTTGGCCTACATTCTGTGTTTTTTGTTGATGTGCTTGTGGTGTCCTAACACACAGTGTGTTATGGGACTGTATAAACGGACATTCTCATTGATTTGATGAAACGAATAGAGCTCAGTTATACAAACATTATAGTAAAACTCCCGTTTGAAAATTCCACGTAGTTTTCGCGGTATAATAATTCAAAGTTACCTATTTTTTTACTTCAAAATTATGCAAAAATATTCTCACTCGTTAACTAATAACATTTAATTCAGAATTGTTATAATACTTCATAGAGCTCTTAAAACTACACGTAATAAGCGTATTAAGTGCTTCGTAAACGCATTCAGTTAATTAGGAAAAATGATTTTAGTGATTTTTGTTTTTATTTTATTTCTCAATTATACCTTAATATATGCAAACATTTTTAATTGCAAGATATAGTCTGATATTTAGTCTAATTGTATTAATAAAATCAGCTTTAAACTCCGTGATATATTTGAGAAAAAACATAAAACGTCTTAATAAAATGTTTACGAGTCTAGGGTCGACAATTTTGGAAGGAATAATTCATGTCTAAAAAGTTTCAAATCCCGCCTGTTATGTGCATAGTGTTGAAGGTTCTAAAAAGTCACATTCACATTGTTTTTAACCGACTTCAAAAAAAGGAGGAGGTTCTCAAGTCGAGTCTTTTTTCTTTTTTAACACTCTTATATTAACTTAAGTTGTATGTAAGTAACTAACTAAAAAAGTATGTAAACAAATCTAGGAAGTCTAATTTATCCTACCTTTAATAATTTTCTCATCGATTTGAAACCTATAATAAATCGAATGTCAATACAATAATTTGGTACAATCGAGCTGATGATATTTAAACATCCAAAAGAAATATTGCTATTAAAAAGTGATGGGAAATTTACAATTCTATATGGCGCATATTTTTAATTTGATTTTCCTCAAATACATCACGGAATTTAAAGCTGATATTTTTTATACAATTAGATTAAATATCAGACTATATCTTGCAATTAAAAATGTTTGCATATATTAAGGTATAATTGAGAAAAAAATTAAAAACAAAAATCACTAAAATCATTTTTCCTAATTAACTGAATGCGTTTACGAAGCACTTAATACGCTTATTACGTGTAGTTTTAAGAGCTCTATGAAGTATTATAACAATTCTGAATTAAATGTTATTAGTTAACGAGTGAGAATATTTTTGCATTATTTTGAAGTAAAAAAATAGGTAACTTTGAATTTTTATACCGCGAAAACTACTTGGAATTTTCAAACGGGAGTTTTACTATCATGTTTGTATAACTGAGCCCTATACGGTTCATCAAATAAATGAGAATGTCCGATTATACAGTCTCATAACATACTGTGTAACATAACAAAATGTATTTCCAGTGATCCTTGGCGATGGCAGCGGCAGCGGCGCCGGCGCTGGGCGCGGTGCGCGGCGCGGGCCGCATGGCGGCGTGGCGCGCGCACGCGTACGGCGCGCTGGACGAGCTGCGGCTGGAGGCGGCGCGCGTGCCCGCCCTGCGCGCGCCCGACGACGTGCTCGTGCGCGTCGCCGCCTCCTCCATCAACCCGCTCGACGTCGCCATGCTGGGTGACGCTGACTTTTTAAAAAAAATATTAAGAAAACATTCAGAAGCACTAAAGGCGTAATAGACTGCAGTGAGCCTCTGTCGCGAATCCAGTTACAGGTGCCGATTCGTGCCAATATCAGGAGAAATTATCTTAGATTCCACATTGATGCATGCACCACTAATTATGGACGTAATTCCTTCTTTAGCAGAGTTTTTAAAAGTTTCGTTTTGTTCCATTTAGCGAAACGTAAGGCATATTTGATCTAAAGTGCCTATTCTATTATTTATTACATATTATGTTGTTTTTTTTTTCATGAAAATAAATAATTGCTTTCCAGGCGGCTACGGGTCGCGCGTGCTGAACGCGCTGCGCAGCGTGGAGGGCGCGGAGGGCGCGGAGGGCGTGGAGTTCCCGCTGGTGTGCGGGCGCGACTTCGCGGGCACGGCCGTGCGCTGCGGCCCGGCGGCGCGCCTGCGGCCCGGCGCGCGCGTGTGGGGCGTGCTGCCGCCGCACCGCCCCGGCGCGCACGCCGACTACGTGCTGGTGCGCGACCGCTGGGTGCGTGACGAGGGAGATATTCGATGCCACCGAACATACCTAATACTATTCCCTAATAATTTGAAATCACAACTTTTTTAAAAAGATCCTTCATTCTAGTCTTAAAAACTTAATTAATTTTAAATTACCTGTAAATTAAGAATTTTGGTTGCATCGTAGTCGAAGAAGGTTGGCAAAATAGTGACGTCACTCGCTTGTACTGCTGTACAAAATCTATGGGAATCTCGTTTTGACATTTTTAAAAAGTACAGCAATCGATTGGTGGTGTCAACACGTGTATTGACAATGTAACATAGTGTTTCTTCGGCAGGCGGGGCCGGCGCCGTCGACGCTGGACGACTTGCAAGCGGGCGGCGCGTTGTACGCGGCGCTGAGCGCGAGCGCGGCCCTTCGCGCGGGCGGACTGCGGGCCACGGCGCGGGCCGCGCGCGTGCTGCTGCTGGGGTTGGGCGGCGTGGGCCACGCGGCGTTGCAGCTGCTGGTGGCGGCCGGCGCGCGGGTGAGCGTGTGCCGGGCCGGCGCCGGCTCGGCTGGACGACTGCAGGCGGGGGCGCGGGCCGCTGCTGGGGCTGGGCGGCGTGGGCCACGCGGCGCTGCAGCTGCTGGTGGCGGCCGGCGCGCGGGTGAGCATGTGCCGGGCCGGCGCCGGCGACGCTGGACGACTGCAGGCGGGCTGATTTTTATTTTGAACTGGATCAAGCTGGATTTTTGTTTTGTATCGTATTTGAATTTTTGACTCCTCTGCAGCTGCGCCCAAAGGGTAGTAATTCTTTTCAGCTTAAACGACTTGACGGATTTTAGCTTGAGAGACTGCTAAATTCTTATCTCTCGTGAGAGTGATACTGGGTATATCAAAATTACTTTTCAGTTCATTTATTGAGTACATAAGTTTGAAAAACTGTAAGTTTTTGTTTTTTCAATATGTAATGTCCCCCAGGTGATAGTGGGGTGCGCGGGCGAGCAATGCGACCGCGCACTAGCGCTGGGCGCGGCGGCGGCGCTGGACCGCCACGCGCCCGACTACGCGCGTCTACTCGAGGACTCCGGCCCGTGAGTATTGTGACGCGTCTGTAGAAACAACGCCGACAACTCGGCGAGAATAAGCTGAGCTTTACATTTGTGTGATTGATCACCAAAAGTAGTCAGATAAAGAAATCGCAAAAATGTTTGTATGGAAAAATTGAACACGTCACGCTACTACCGCTCCGAGAGATGAAGTGTGACAGATGCGCGGCGGACTTGCATGCACCTGAAACCGAATGCCAAAAAATTCAAAGCTCAGCTTACGCCTCGCGAACTGTATCAACTACACTCAACATCAAATAAACCGCACCTTCCGCGACGCGAACTTTATAAAGATTTTCTTCTGACACAATCATGGTGCCCCAACAATATTGGTGTTATTTGAAAGCCCAATAAATATCCTTAAAGAAAAACACATTTAATTTCTAAATAAATAATTATCATCTACCTATCTCATCTATCTATAAATGTGACTTGAAAAGAGACCTTACTTTGGGCTCACCTCTGGGATCAATTAGACCAAATTTTATGGTTGTTAAACCAAATAATGATCACACGTGTCCTCTTTAACAGATGGATACCGATTAATCCCAACTTAACAGTTTTACAGCCATAAAAGTTGGCTCAAGCGTAATAGCCTATTTTTTGAAGAAGTGACTCTGGATCCTTCTAAAGACACATTTTTGGGGTAAAAACCTTTCCTTTAATGAAATGAAGCTTAGAACTAGGCTTTTAAATGGTGCCAATATTGGCGGGAAGTGGGGATGCATACGTTTGAAAGTGCTTGTTGCGGGAGGTGCGATTTATTTGATGTTGAGTGTAGTATCAAGTTACTTAATAGGGAATATGCAAGGTTTTTTATTTTTCTCACATTTCAGTAGACTTGGCATTATCAAATCAAATATTGCTTTTCTTTAACAAACATTTCAAAAGATACCTAAAATACAGACGTTGGAGATCTCATAACGTCATTGGTCATGTAAGAACGACGCGCAGTCCTATACAAGATACTATAGGTGGGTGACATTTGACGTCACGCTCAGCTATTTCCATACAAAGTTTAAACACTTGTAACTTTTATGTTTCCAGTTCGGTTTCAAAACAAGTTTTTCAGAAATTCTATGATTTAACTAGTGTTTATTTATACACAATTTATTAACTTCTAAAATCGATGCATATTCCCTATTGTGTCCATGAAATCTGCGTAAAGTAATATAGTGCTTCATCGCTAGGAGTGCACCAATAGAGACTTTCCTGCGGTCGTGTTACCATAGACATTAAAATATCAATTTTCAAATTAAAGCAAATAGTTTTTTTTTTCAATGATAAGTTTTGTATTAGATAAGGTAACGAGATGTTTTAACTACTACAAGACGCACAATGTCCAACCGGCAGAAGGTCGTAGAAGTTATCGACAGAAGATCGTAATATTCATGTTGATAACATTATGGATTTTTTTTTTTTTTTTAGTAATTGCGTCTTCAACTTTAATAAATCTTTCACAGAGTCAGATGATGAATCTTACTTACGTTACTGCCTAGCTCGCATAAATATTTATAACTTTGTACATTTTAAAGCATGTAAACCTTTGAAAAAGAGGCTGACAATAGTGACTGAGTTTCTTGCGCTGCTTCTTCTCAGCACTGGCCCATTTATTGTCCTGAAGCAGTGGTAGGGTTAATACTGGGACGTGTAAAAGTGGTTTTTTTAAGCCTATTTACAGAACTAAATGAGTTTTAATGAGTTTTAATCCAAGAACAGTTCTGACTCTGATATCAGTTTAGGCAGTTACTTAAAACGAGTAATCATCTAAAATGATATTTGTTTTGATGTTTTGTTTAACTTTATTGACGTCTAACATTTATTATTATCATTCTTTCTTTTTATTAGATAAGTTAAACAGAATATTTGATGATAAGAAGAATCGGTTCAGTAAATATCATCTAAAAACGAAATTACATGTTTTGCTTTTTGAATTCACAATTAAAAAATTCACCTTCTTAAAAATTACTTGTAGATAAATGTTTAATGCTTATTTATTAATTTTATCTATCATGTTTTGTAACAGTCAAGCAGTCTACCTACAGTTAAACAACAAAGAAGTTAAGATTACTTATAAATATTCATGTTATTTGCATAAACATATTTTTCTTACCTCATGTAAAAAACACTGAAACGTAACTTGTACTTGCTTATTTTTATTTTCTTGTTTATTTGCGGTGCGCAATTTAAATATTATGTTTTTTATTTGGTACCTACATCAACAGTGGGGGGCTTTGAATTATTGATAGCTATAATTACACCTACTAAAGGTAAAAGTTGAACAAAACAGCCATTGTTATAGTTTTTCCTGGTTGAGCGTATCTCTGTACGCACAGTCATGACACGATCATGACCCAGTGCTGTATCGGCGGCGTGACTAAGAGTGCGAATTGTTCCAAAAAGCTTGATAAGGCGCGAGCTAGTAACAATATGATCACTGTTATCTACGCTTAAACTTCGTTATTATGCTGCAATGGAATTGAACTGAGTATAAACAAATATCGCTGATGAATCGATTTCAATGAAATTCGTACTGATTGATTTTTTTATATAATGGATCACTTCTGCATGCAGCACTCATCTGTTGAGAATTTAAATGTTTCTAAAGAAAAAATCGAATAAGGAAATTCAAGATTCAATTCAATGCCCGTTCCAGGCAGATATTTAGGTTTCGGTCTCTATCTGTGCTGTTTTTGCAGTATTAACGACGAGTGAACGGTTCTATGGCTCACGTGTATGCACCACTATTTATTTGATAACATATCCTTACGATAATCCTTAAATTTTGTCTCGTCCCCGTCCGTGCCTTGCGGTGTGGCGCGGGCGCCGGGCGCAGCGTGACGTGGTGGTGTGTGCTCAGGTACGAGGTGATCCTGGACTGCGCGGGGCTGGGCGGCGCGGAGGCGGGCGCGCGGCGCTGGCGGTTCGGGCGCTACGTCACGCTCACCACGCCGCTGCTGCGTGACACCGACGCGCGCGGCCTGCTGGCCGGCACCGCGGTACGACCCGTGCTTTTTACCTTTCTTTAAAAATTTACAATGCCGATGCCGGCCCTGTACTGGTTTCCTTTGCACATAGTTTTAAAAACATTGTACTTTACCAGACACTTAGTTAGATTGAGATTTTGATTAGAATAGCCTGGTGATGTCAAGTAACTTATTCTACTTATCTAAAGGTTAAATCGTCAAGTTTACTCTTTCTTTGTTTACCTATTTGCTTTGTATTTACAGCGGAAAAAAACAAACATAATATACGTCGTAAAAATGTAATTGGTTTGGTGTCAAAGGTGGCGACGGCGACGCTGCTGGCGCAGGGCGCGGCGGCGGCGCGCGCGGGCGGCGGCGCGGGCGCGTGCCCGCCGCACGTGCGCTGGGCCTACTTCGCGCCCAACGCCGACGACATCGAGCACCTGAGGAAGCTCGCCGAGCAGGGCAAGGTCAGTTACATCACGCTCGGGGACGTTCGCGAGCTTCTCTCCGAAGTCCGAACGTAGATCGTCGGGGCGGGATCGTCGCGAGCGGGCCCCGCTGCCAGTAAAAGAATCGCCGCCCGCTCCCGGTGTGTGAAGAGATCATTTTAGGATGCGTAGATTTTAACGGTTAACGTACGATCAGGTCGTCGGTCCACCTTGTGGGTGGACGTCCCACGCTGCGTTTTCCGGTACGTGGCCTCTATTCCAGAACCTTGCTGCCCCATCGGTCGTCAGTTCTGCGTAGGTAGCGGGAAGGCGCTGGATGCAGGCCGCTACCAACCGTGCGATGTGGAAGTCATTGGGGGAGGCCTATGTTCAGCAGTGGACGTCCTGTGGCTGAAATGATGATGATGATGATGTACGATCAGTCCTCGTGAAAGATATTTATTTAGCATCGCGGTCTCCCCACGAGTCGTGATCCAATCGCGCCGGCCGGCAAGCGCAGGCCCGTTTACACGTGATGCTGCACCGGTCTGACGAGTGGATGTGTTGTTGCAGTTCTGCGTGCAGGTGGAGGAGACGTTCGAGTGGTGGCGCGCGCGGGAAGCGTTCGAGCGCGCGGCGCGGGGCTCGGCGCGCGGCAAGCTGCTGCTCGACTTCCGCGCGCAGCCGCGCCACTAGCGTCGTACCACTAGCGCCAGTAGCGCCGCGCCACTAGCGCCACGCCGGGGTGTCGTGTGCGCAGAGACAGTTTAACTCCTCTCGGTATGGATAGATAGATCAGCTCAGAGCTCGTTATACAAGTATTATACATAAATATTTATTATCTTATATTATTAAGTCTATTACAGGTGATATCGATTTTTTTGTTACAATTACGTAGTTAATATTATTATACCTATTCAAAGATGACCATTATTTTGGTGATGGTACCTATAAATTATGTAGTTAGATAAAAGATATGTATACTTGATTGGCATTGAAAATACATTTATTATAATTATGTATCGTGTTCTGCATCACAACTGAGTAGGTACCGCGCATGTAGTTTTTAAAGGTTAATGTTACATTTATTTTTAGAAATAAACAAATAACTTTTTGGTGTTGGAGTTTTTTTCACCCCATTGAATGCTAAACGTTATCGGCGTATGACGTCATTCCCGCGTCTGCAAGTGTTGTCGGCACCGATCGTCAACTAAAACAGGTAAGATGTCGCTGCAGCGCCGCTGTTGTGCCTAACTGTGCACAATGTGCATACAAATATTAAGCTACTTTTACTTCACAGTGACGAAAAGACACTAATGGAAACTAAAATAGACATCGAGTTCTAAACAGTTGAGAACTCATTCATTATCCGGCGAGCGTTAGTCGACCGTTTGCAGAACTTGGTGCAGGGTGCAGACTAGGAAGATGGCGGTGGCCACACTGTTACAGAGTAAGTGCAGTCCGGTTTGCAGATAAATATGAACATTATTTCTTGTCAAGTTACAAAAGTAGTAGAATAGAACCCTTTCGATTGACACACACAATGTATTATTAATAAACCTATGTATAATTTTATATATTATTGTATGTATCATGTAGTGTATATGTAAATAAGTAGATGTAGTTATGTAGTACTTGAAAGTTTAGGAAACAAAAACTGATGAAGAGAGACAAATCGCGAATTTCATTTTGCAAGAGCGGTAATTATTATGTATAATGTAGCAACGGAGCAGAAAGAACAACTGAGGAGTGTCTATTCAAAAGGGGATATTTACATTTTTATTATTTACTAGCTGACCCGGCGAACTTCGTACCGCCTTAGCGTAGAGATTTTCTTAATATTTTTTTCCATAAGAACCATCCTTGGACTTCTACAAACATTAAAAAAAAAGAATTATCGAAATCGGTTCAGCCGTTCACACGTGATGCCGTGACAACGCGAAACGGGTTTCATTTTTATATATATATATAGATTAAACTGAGTATGCAGTCTTGTTCTTAGTGCTGAATACTCACTTTCGTCACTTGAATCTTAATCAAAACGGGATATTCTCCCAAGTAAAGCAGCTTCAAATATGAGTGTTCATTTCAGAACAGGATATTTACACTTACAAAATTAAAAAAATAATAGTTATTTTTCATTTCATAACAAGAGAGGATATTTACAATACAAATATTTACACTATACCAATTAGCCGTTTCAAAACGGGATATTTACTTTTACATAGTGTTTTATTTCCTTTAACTTTATGCTTTAGGATTTATTTTTAGACATTTTACTCAACGGAACGCAAAATTAACGTAAAACGGAATCTATGTTGTGTGATTGTCTGACACCTGATATTGGACAAATCAGCCCCGATTACGGTAATATTTAACGTCTACAATCCAGACACGCTTCTTCGATTCTGCGATGCGATTGGTCAAAACAGTCAGCTGTCAGTCAACGTCAGCTGTTTTGACCAATCGTATCGCAGAATCGAAGAAGCGTGTCTGGATTGTAGACGTTAAATATTACCGTAATCGGGGCTCAGGATTTGAATGTCTAATAATTAAAAAAATATAATTCTGTTTAGTAGCGTCTTTAATTTTGGTCATTATTATTATTGCACAAAATTTCTTGGCATATACATAGACAGCAATATGTCATGGGAATCCCATTCTATTGAAGTTTGCAAAAAAATGTATAAATTTTCATTTGCACTTTACAAGTTAGCTAAGACTGCTAACCGTGATACAGTATTAACGGCTTACCATGGTTTTGTTGCCTCGACTCTTCGTTATGGTGTAATATTTTGGGGCAATTCTACCTACAGAGAAATATTACTGAGGGCTCAAAAGCGATGTGTTAGGGCTATATGCGGTCTAAAACCTATAGAAAGTTGTCAGCCATATTTTAAATCACTGAAGTTATTAACTTTTCCATGTATATATATTTTTGAACTGTGTGTATTCGTAAAATCTAATCCAGATTTGTTTAAAAAAAAAGATCACATACCTAACCTTCGCCCTAGAAAACCCGAACTTTGCACAAATAATAAATGTAAAACCGCACTAATGCGTAAAAATGTCACAGAAATGGCTCCAAAGGTTTACAACAAACTCCCAGAATCCTTGAAGCAATTTAATTTAAATAAATTTAAAATTATTTTATCAAAAATGTTAATAGATAAATGTTATTATAATATGAATGAATATTTTAATGATAGAGAATTGTAACCATTAATATAAATGTGATTGTATAATATGTAATTTTATAACTTTTATTGTGTTTATGACATTGTTTTATTATTATTTTATGTTTAAATGTAATGTAGAATGTTTATTCAATTATAATATGACTGCGATTGATCTGACATTATTTAAGTGAAAATTATTTTTTATGTAAATGAAATTTGATAAGTTTGATTTATAATTTTGCATGCCAAAAGGTGGAAGATGGAGATACTAAAATACTTGTAATACCTACATTTACCCATGTTCGCAAAATAAATATATTTGATTTGATTTGATTTGATTTGAGGATATTTACAAAATAGTAGGCTCAACTAAAGGGGATATTTACAGTAAGTACAGAACAAAGGGGGATATTATAAAAGATCCGTGTCAAAAGAGGATATTATGATTTTTCTGAACTCTGTAACTTTAAATTAACAAGTCATATTTTTTGGCACAAAGTGTAGTTAGAACACTGTAATGAAATAGTTTCATAACAGAAATAATGCTTTTCGGTAGGTCTGCAACTATTTCCCATATAAGTTTTTCCCATTTTGTGAAAATTAAGATAGAATGTAGGTATCCCCTTTTGAAAAGACACTCCTCAACTGTGCACTACCCCACCCATCCCATGGTAAATATTACCTACATTCTTTTGAAAATTGAATCTTTGGGAACATGAACGTAACATAATGCTTAGGTAATGCATAACATACAAGTGTATTCTGCAATTTATTACGCCGATCTTCTGATCAATATCGTTGCGGATCCAACTGTCGTTGGATTGAATGAGTTTAACTTTCCCCCGGGACGAATTTGACCTTCACCGGTTGGGTTTTTATTGGTGGTCAAGCTGTAGATCCTGGCTACACACAGGATTTGGGAACGAGATGTGGGAATAGTCCGGTTACATTCCAGAATAGAAAAATGAGCGATCATTGTATGTGTTGGAAGGAGGCTGATGCTGTAAGGCCGCGGCCGCGGGGCGGGCTCGCGCGGCGTGCGGCGCGGAGACTGAACTGACGTGCGACGGGTGCTCAGGTACAAACAATAACTTATATTACTTACTAGCTTTCCGCCCGCGTGAAATTTTGTCTGTCACAGAAAAATCTGATCGCGCGCTTCCTACTTTCAAAAACCAGATTAATAAAACTATCCTATGTCCTTTTTATGTACCTTTCATCAAAATCGGTTCAGCGGTTTAGACAGAGAGGGTTACTTTCGCATTTATAATATTTAGTAGGAATCTTGATTCATTTTAAAAATTGAACTTAGGTATGATTATTATAGTTTTTAAATGATATAATTACACAAATTAATGAATCCGACTCCAAAATGACGTATTTTAGAAGTATCGTCATACCGACAACGCGGTTGTGGTCGTCTACGTCAAGGACAGAAACCTTGTAAAGACAATACCTAAGCAAGCAGCCGTTTACTTTGAATAAATAATTGTTTTCGACTACGAATGACGACTTTCCGGGCGTAGGAAAACAGTGAACGGATGTGTCTGCATCCGTACAAACTAACCCCTGACAGTAAACTTGTTACATAAACTCACATCGTCGTAATGTAAACTACATAAATACATGAGTAGTTTTGTCTTTTAGAAAAATCAATATACAGTTAGGTATAAAAATGCGTAAGTATTGCGACGTTTGTTTATATTCATATTGCGACCATGCTACTCACGATGCGTTAGTACTTAAATTCCTGGCGAGCAATCTTATCTGTTTCATCATCTATAATTCAGTTTGTTTTCTATGTAACATTGATTTTTTACTGTTCAAGGTTACCCAAGGTACCTTGCTACGTATTTATTTTATTTACTACCTATGTATTTGAGTAGCTTCTATTTTTAACCGACTTCAACAAAAGGAAGAGGTTCTCAATTCGCTTGGTATTTTTTTTACTATGTATGTACACCGATTACGCCGTGATTTCTGTTCCGATTTACATTATTCTTTCTTTGTTCGACGCGAAATGGTTGCCATTTGGTCCCTTTAAATATAATTTAATTTGATTGGGTAGTTTAATTTTTGTTAACTTTATACGGTGCAATTTTTACGAACGTTTAGTTTTTTAGCGATAACTTCGGCAATTTTGGAGTTATCTTGATGAAACTTGTATCAAACTAGAGAATAAAATTACGCATCTGTATAATTCATTAAAACATTGTAAAACTAATTTCCGCTTGGTAAAAAATTTGCAAAAGTCGCGATTTTCCTAAAGAAAGAAATGGCGGGGAAAAGAGAAGCCTTATCCTTTAAATATGAAACGAGTTCCTCCAGTTGACAGATTACGGATTACTAATGTTTGGCCAAAAAACGTTTCCCAAATTATCACATCGCAAACAACGTTTCGCAAATTTTCATTTGGCAAATTCTCATTTGGCAAAACAACGTATTGCAAACTTTTAATTCGCAAATGTCGTTTTTGGCATATTATTGTTTAGCAAATTATTGTTTGGCAAAGTATGTTTTGCCAAATGTTTCATTTGGCAAAAATATTTCACGATGAACTATTTACAAAATAATTTTATTGTCGCATAGAATGGACTACAAATTAGCTGGTGGTTATTATTTTGTTTAGTGGTAAGATAATATAAAATTTGTTCTAAATTAATTTTCATATTTCATTCTTTTTATCAAAATTTCCAAATGATTCATTAAACAATAGAGGTGATTCTAGCGCTCGGCGGCCGCTGCCGCGGCACGCTTCGCTCGCCTTCGCGCGTTAAGGGTCACTGTTCTAACCTAACCTAACCTACTATTTTCTGCGATACCTACTTTCTGCAACCATACTATTTTCTGCAATCTCTTTGTTTCACATAAAATTCTTGTGAAAACCATGATCATCTGCCTTATGCTTTGATTTGTGGGTAACGGTGGGTAAGTATGT